GACAGCCCAAGAGTTCCCCGCGACGGCCCGAATCCAGCCCAAGGGAGCGCCAAGACGGCCCAAGATGCCGCCACGATTGCCCAAGTGGCCCTCAAGACAGCCCCAAGACAGGGGCAATAGCGGGGATCCAAACCGGCACTTCAAGCCCAGATGCCAAGAGCCCCAAGGAGGCCGCCGAAGCGCCCCCAATATGTTTTCAAAGGCCACCAGGCGACCCCCAGCAAAAGCCGGAGATGCCCCACCCCCTCAGAAATCTCCAAGAGCCCTCCAAGAACGTCCCCCAAAGATACAAAAAAATATTGACCCTGGCGACGTACCCAACCCCTGCGCAATGCGGGGCATGAGTAGCTTGGGAGACGTTATACGGAGGTGATGGTGTGACATGGGCGCCTATACTTCTGCAAGCGGCATTCGTGAGGCTCGCAGCCCCCCAGGGATTGCGATGTCCCGCTCAGATCTGCCTGGCGCCTTGCTCCGCTGGACCCACCAGCAGCCCTCGAAAGTGGCGACAATTTCGCAAATCGCAGCCCCCCAGGGACGGCGAGGTCCCGCTCAGATCCGCGCGGCGCCTCACTCCGCAGGACCCACCAGCAGCCCTCGAAAGTGGCGACCGTTTCGCAGATCGCAGCACCCCAGGGACGGCGAGGTCCCGCTCAGGTCCGCGCGGTGCCTCATTCCGCAGGAACCACCAGCAGCCCTCGAAAATGGCGACATTTCGCAGATCGCAGCCCCCCCCCCACCCAAGGACGGCGAGGTCCCGCTCAGGTCCGCGCGGCGCCTCACTCCGCAGGACCCACCAGCAGCCCTCGAAAGTGGCGACATTTCGCAGATCGCAGCCCCCAGGACGGCGAGGTCCCGCTCAGGTCCGCGCGGTGCCTCACTCCGCAGGACCCACCAGCAGCCCTCGAAAGTGGCGACGGTTTCGCAGATCGCAGCCCCCCAGGGACGGCGAGGTCCCGCTCAGGTCCGCGCGGTGCCTCACTCCGCAGGGCTCACCAGCAGCTCTCGAAAGTGGCGACGGTTTCGCAGATCGCAGCCCCCTAAGGACGGCGAGGTCCCGCTCAGGTCCGCGCGGTGCCTCACCCCGCAGGACCCACCAGCAGCCCTCGAAAGTGGCGACCGTTTCGCAGATCGCAGCACCCCAGGGACGGCGAGGTCCCGCTCAGGTCCGCGCGGTGCCTCACCCCGCAGGACCCACCAGCAGCCCTCGAAAGTGGCGACAGTTTCGCAGATCGCAGCCCCCCAGGGATGGCGAGGTCTAATTTGGGTCCGCGCGTGGCGTCACTCTGCTGGGCCCCCCAGCAGGCCTTGAAAGTGGCGACAGTTTCACAGATCGCAGCCCCCCCAGGGATGGCGAGGTCTAATTTGGGTCCGCGCGTGGCGTCACTGTGCTGGGCCCCCCAGCAGGCCTCGAAAGTAGCGACAGTTTCACATATTGCAGCCCCCCAGGGATGGCGAGGTCTAATTTGGGTCCGCGCGTGGAGTTACTGTGCTGGGCCCCCCAGCAGGCCTCGAAAGTAGCGACAGTTTCGCAGATCGCAGCCCCCCGCAGGCAAGACAGGAGGAGGCAGGCAGGAGGCAGGAGGGAGGCGGGAGGAAGGAAGGTGGAGACCACAGTCCCTTATTCAAAACGAATACCCAACCAAGGAGGGTTGGGAACAAACAGCATGGTTTTGCCATGCTCTTAGGGGTTCTCGGGCATCACCTCTTAGGCTGCCCTGGGTCCTGCTCTTGGATGCCTTGCGCGACTTCCTGGAGCCTTTTTCAGGGCCTGCTGAAGCATCCACCAGGAAGTACGCTCCCACATGGTGACCCTTGCGGAATGATGTCCATCCTCATCCGATCTTGTGGGTTTGGCTTGGATTGCGCTAGAAGCGAGCGCGCGTGATTCTAGGTTTTTATAGATATACATATACAGGTACCGATGCACATATATACACACATTCATACATACATACATACAGATATACATACATACATACATACATACAGACAGACAGACAGACAGACAGACAGACAGACAGACAGACAGACCGACAGACAGACAGACAGACAGACATACAGAGACAGACAGACAGACAGACAGACAGACAGACAGACAGACAGACCGACCGACCGACCGACCGACCGACAGACAGACATACAGACAGACAGACAGACAGACAGACATACGTACGTACATACATACATATAGATGTGTGTGTGTGATCTGATGATCCCTTCGGGGCTCCGAGGGCTCTATCCCCACCTGAGGAAGTGGTCTGGTTGGGCCCCGTCGGGGTGGGGATCGGTGAGACGCTGCCGAAGGACGGAGCGGAGCCCCTCCCGCAGCAGGTCGGCGAGGCCGTCTCCGAGGGGACCTACCAGGAGGCTTTCCTGGACGCCTTCGACGGGCAGGCCTTCCCGCTGTACGCCGAGGAGGTGGCGCCGGCCCACGTGTACAGCCTGGCCCTGGAGGCTCGTCGACTGGACGTAAGAGTGGCCTTTCCCCGGAGTGGGGTCCCCCGATCGCCGAACGCGATACGATAGTTAACACTTAGTAGCGTCTTGCGCGTTTGTGCTTGGCCCCCCCGCGGCCCCCGAAAATCCGCGCACCAAAGGTCACTCTTACCCAGGGTCACTCTTGCGTGTAGCCGAGTTCGGTGGCTCAAAGATGGGGTCCTGAGGGATGGATCCAAGGGTGGATTTACACTATTGAGGCACCTCGCCCTTCGGATCCCAGCCCTCAGGACCCAATCTTTGACCCACCGAGAGGTGCACTCCGGGGGCCCGTACTGGTGCAACATACCCGTGCGGGAGACAGGCCGGGGGGAGGGGGGAGGCCAGGGGGGCCCCTGGCCCCGGCCTGAGATCCTGGCGTTGCGGGTTGTTTCGCGGCGGGGGATGTTGCCTTGTCTCGGGCCCCGGGGCCCCCACTCGGCGGCAAGCGAGGGGGGGCAGGCATTCTCAGAGAACTCGGAAGCCCCCCGACGTTCTGAGAAGTTTTCTGCGCCTTTTCCCGGATACACACAAAAAACTGCTCAGAAGGTCCGAGAGCTTCCGAGAAGCCCCGCCGCCTTCTGGGGAGGCCCTCTCCTTCTCACTTCCCCTCGCTCGCCGCCGACTCACATATCGATCGGGCTCGAGACATGGCGCAGGGAGAGCGGGTCTGGGGCGCCAGTCGCGATCTGCCACGACGTTCCGATGCTGTTCGCAGCGTCGGATCTCCAGGCAGGCGCTCCCGGCTGCTCGCGCCCGTGTGGCCCGCCCTCCGAGGCGCCCAGGGCAGAGCCGGCGGGCCACGTGCGGTCCGCGCGCCGCGGAAGAGACAGCTCCGGGGCTGCCACGGCTGCCCCTGGCCCGAGGCGCCCCCCCAGCTGTCGGCACCACTCCGGAGCTCCCCCCCTCCCCCATTGGGGGCCTTCTGGGCCTCGTCGACGGGGGGCGGGGGGCCCGACAGGGCCAGCCGCCAGCCGGGCCCTCCTGGAGCTCCGGGGGGCTCCTCGGGCAAGGGGCACACACCTCTTTGGCAGCACCCTGGCAGGCAGCGTGAGGCACCGGGTGGAGACCGTCAGCGCTTCCTCCGCGGCCGAGGGCTCCGCGTCCGCCGTGTCCCACTTCGGGGCGGCTCAGCGGGGTGCCGTCTTCGTGTGGCGGTGGCGGCACCTGCGGGACGCCGGGCCGCACGAGCTGCCCGCGTGGCTGCAGAAGGCCCTCGGCTCGGAGGGCAACGACCCCGTGCGCAAGCTGCAGGCCGAGCTGGAGGCCGTACGGCGCTGGGCGGGGCAGCAGCGCCTGGCCACCGCCCAGCGTGCGAAGGGGGCCAACGAGGTGACACGTAAAACCCGGGAGATACGCCTGCGTTGGGCTTACCCAGGATTTCCCGAGGGGACGGAGGCCTTGCCTTGGCCGACCGAGGCCTTCTTATCTAGGCATTCCGCCTTCCCAGGCCCTTGTAGGATAACCGGGACCTACCTAGGCATACCCTAGGCTACCATAGGGACTTGAGCAGGGCCTACCTAGGGCTGCCCTGGGGCCTTAGCTAGGTAGGGCTGAGGGTAGCATAGGGCCCTTGGCCCTATACCCGAGGTAAAGGACATCTACATGCGCGAGGTGCTGCGCCTGTGGCCGTGCGAGCCAGACCCGCACGGCTCGGAGCAGCTGAAGCCGTGCGCGTGGGTGGAGGGCCTCGACGCGAAGCTCTTTGTGGGCCGCAGCGTGCTGGTCTGCCGCGCCTGGTACGACGAGGACCACGCCCTGGCCCTCCACGCGGCCATCGCCCGAAGGCACGCGCAGGGCGCCTCCCAGGAGGGCGGCCCGCCCTACCGGCTGACTGCCGCGTGGCGCTGGACCGCCGGGCGCACCGCCGCCGCCGAACAGGCCGCGCCCGCGGAGGCGGTCGAAGAGCGGGGGCAGCGCGCGGCCGCCGACCAGGCTCCGTGGAGGAAGAGGTACCGATGCCGCGAGACGAGGCCCCTGTCCCGCTTTCGCGTTCGGGCGGCCTCCTGGGAGGCCCTCGTCGCCACGGCCGGATTCGCTTCGAACTTCTGCTCAGGACGTACACTGGGGGAGGGGTCTTGTCGGACAGGGCAAAGACGGGGATAGATCCTTTCCAGAGCGTTCCGGAACGCTCCCAAAGCGTTCTGGAACGCGTTGAGAACACCGCGGCACCCGAGATATCCTCCAGAGCCGCTGGATCTCAACGATTTTTTTGTTTGTTCTCTCTCTCTCTCTCTCTCTCTCTCTTTCGGAGGAGGAGGAGGAGGAGGAGTGACTTCTCTTCATCTCCTCCTCCTCCTTCTCGATTGATCCTCGCCCGAACTTCTCCTCACCCTGGCCTCGTCGTATCTCTTGGGAGCAGCGGTGCCGGCCTCCTCGTTGGGCTCCCCCCCGCAGGCCGCCCCCGCAGCGGCAGCCGAGGAGCCTCTGCGGCACGCCGGCGCGTGATGGCCGCCCCCAGCGCTGCTCCTCCTCCTCCTCCTCCTTCTCCTCCTCCTCCTGGGTTTGCTCCGCATGTGATTCAAGAGTAGAATGGAGTTGTTCGCTCCGCAGCCTTTCTCTCAAAAGGGGGGGCGCTTCGGGCCGGCCCGGCTGCATGGCCTTGGCGCTGCGCCCGCGACACGCCGCAGCCGGCGTGGTGGGCGCGGTGCTGCTCCGGCACGCCGACCTCGTCTACCAGGCCTTCCTGCAGCAGGCTGGGCTCTGGCAGGGCGCGGGCCACGCGGGGGCCGAGGCGGCCGCCCAGGCCGCCTACTCGGCCGCGGACGCGGCCGGCCTGGCCGCCGCGGCGGCGGCAGCGGCGGGCGAGGCACTCGGGCAGCACTGCCCGGCCTTGCCCGACTGGTCGGGCCCGCCGGAGGCGGTGGTGTGCCCGGAGGCCCCGGCGTGCCTCTGCTCCTGCCCCGAGGTGCCGGAGTGCGCTCCCGAGGCGAAGGACGACGCCGCGACTGGCCTCTGGCAGCTCACCGGAGGCGCCGTGGGGCACGTCGCCCTGGTGCTAGCGGGTCGACTCTGCGCCTGCCGCCGCCGAGATGGCGAGCGAGCGGCGCCGGGCCCCACTCCGCGAGGCGAGCCCGCCGGGCCCGCCTCTCCACGGCGTGCCGCGCTGGAGGGGCCCGGCCGTGCTGCGCCTGGCGTCCGGACACGTCGTCGAGGAGGAGGCGTTCTCGAATGAGCTCATCCCGGGCGCCTACGTCGCCGTGTTCTACAGTGATGATTATGTGTGGCATGAGAGGCTGCTACTTTTTCCAATTCGACGCCCAGCACTGGGCGTTCAAGACTCTTGACGGAGCCATGTACTTTGAGAACGTTCTGGGCGGGGATCCCGACTGACACCGGCCCGTGCCGCGCGGTCGTCCTCCCCACGACCGGCGAGTTGCCCGTCTTCGTGAAGGGGAGGACCTGCAGATTCCGCGACTTCCCCGACGAGCAGCAGCTGCTTGACTTGCTCAGCGAGGGGCGGGAGCTGGCCGTCGCCGAGGGCTACGGCGGGCCGGGGCCGACGCTCTACCTGGACGCAATGGGGGAGCGGCGGCCGCTGGAGTTGGACGGAGACTCCTTCCGACGGGCTCGCGGCCGCCCCGCCGGCGGCTCGGGAGAGCCGCCCATGCCTCCTCCCATCGAGCCGCCGCTGCAGGCCAGGGGCTTCGCTGCCGGCGGCACCCGCACGCCCGAGGTCCTCGACGCGGACGCTGAGTCGACAGGGGATGCAGGCCGCTGGGTGGCCCTCGTCTCGCACGGAGAGGTGCACCGCGGTGACAGCATGGTGCTCGACGTCGGCGACAAGGTCCTGGGGATTTGGCGCTCCACAAACTCCCAAGCGGGGAGGTGGTCGCCGCCTGCTGGCCTGCCTACCTCAGCCAGGTCGCGGACGCCCGTGCCGCCGGCGAGGGGGGCGACGCCCGCGTCCTCGCCTCGGACACCTACGACCCAGGCGGCCGGCATTGGTGTGACTTCGCCAACGCGGTCGGCAAGATGAGGACGGAGCCCATGGACGACTTCCCGTTGGAGGGCGAGCGGTCGGCGTTGTGGCTCTTCCAGTACGTCAGGGGCCACGGCGGCACCTTCGACGCCAGGCAAACGAAGTGGGCCACCGAGCAGAAGATCGCGCCCGACTCCACGGCCTACCTGTTCCACGACCTCATTGGGCTGGCGCTGGACCTCTCGGTCAGCTACGACCAGTGCGACGGGGGCAACCTGGCCAGCGTCGAGGTGATGGCGCGGTTGTACCAGCTGGTGGAGGAGACGAACGGCACCCTCCAGCTGGAGGGCCTCGAGCACTACCTCGGCCGCGACCGCGCAGGCGGGCTTCGCCGGGGCGTCGCGCTCAACCCGGCGCTCTCGCAGCACGCGACGGACAAGAAGAGCAAGGAGACCGAGGTGATGAAGCAGCGCCGGAAGGCGCGGGAGGAGGCGGACGCCGCCAAGAAGGCCGGCAAGGGCGGCGGCAAGAAGGACAAAGGAACACCCCTGGGGCGCGTTGCGGAGGCCCCCGGCCGCGGCGCGAAGACCAAGGGGCAACTCACCGGCGCGATGCTGCCGCGGGCGAAGGAGATGGGCTTCTTCCCCTGGCTTGTCCACGGCAGGACATCTACGACGGTGGCTGCACACCGCTGTCGCGCGGCACGGAACAGCGTGTCAGGCGGCGGCTCAAGGTCCAGGAACGGACCGCCGAGACGACACGTGCTATCAATCGTCTGGCAGGTTTAGACACGACCGAGGTGGAGTCCGTCAGCGACCTGGCTGGCCCCTTCGCCCTGGTCTACAGCGACGCGCGGGCGCTTCGCGCGGCTCACGCCCCCGAGCCGGTGATTTTGACATGTCGACATGCGTGGGTGCGGCAGCCGCAGGAGCTGGGTCAGGCAGGTGGTGGGCCTGCCGACGTTGTACGGCGACGCCAGTTTGAAGGAGAATCGCGATGCCTACATCGGCTTCGTGAAGGACGGGCTCGCTCGGGGGATCTCCCGCCTGAGCCGGCGCCGCAAGGAAGCCGTCAAAGTCTTTCTCGCGAAGAAAAAAGACAGCAGCATTCGAATCGTCATCGATTGCCGCCGGAGCAACCAACGCTGTAAAGCCGCGCCGAAGGTCCACCTCTTCTCGGGCAGTAGCCTCGGGGACGTCGAGGTCTCGGCGGATCAGCAGATGTGGTAGATGTGGTACGCGGGGGGCGACGTGCAGAACGCCTTCTACCAGCGCCAGTTGCCCTGCTAGCTGCAGCCTACTTCGGCCTGGACGGCGCCCGGGCCTCGGAGCTGGGGATCACGCAGCTAGACGGCCGGGCCGTGCTGGGCGACCAGACTCTACCCCTTGATGAACGTGGTGCCGATGGGCTGGAAGTGGGCCCTCTACATGGTGCAGCGGATCCACGAGCACGTGCTCGATGGCCCCCCCGCACTGGGGCCGCGGCGCCGGGCGGTCGACTTTCGGCCTCCGCCTCGAGCCGGAGACGGGGCGGTGCACACTTTGTACGTGGACAACGCGTTGATCGAGGGGCTCGACCGGGCCGAGGTGACGCGTCTCCGGGAGGCCGCCTGCGACGCGCTGCAGCGCGCGGGCTTCGCCACCCACGACGAGTCCGACGCCGCGACGAGCATGGAGATGCTGGGCGTGGAGCAGACCGGCCTCCCTGGCCGCATGCAGGTATCGGCGAAGCGGTACTGGAGGCCGTGGCAGGCGCTGGAGTGGATTCGGCGCCGGCAACCTCCCCTGACCAGCCGGCAGCTCGAGCGTCTGATAGGCCACTTCACTTTTGTAGCTCTCATTCGCCGAGAGCTGCTCAGCACGCTGCGCGCTTGCTACGATTTTGCCAGAGGTGACTTCAATAAGCATAGGAGTCTGTGGAAAAATGTTCTCCAGGAGCTCCGGACCATCCAGGGTCTGTTAATTTTTGCGTCGAGGGACCTGGATCCAAAATGGTCTGGGCACGCGTTGGCCTACGATGCGTGTGAGTCTGGGCATGCCACGGTGAGGGTGGCCTGGACGGTGGGGGATGCACAGCAAGTAAGAGAATGGCACGAGAGATGGAGATGCAAAAATGAAGATGACCCTGCTCGCATCAACCCCAGAGAACATGCCCTGCAACAGCATGCTGGACTTTGCGGAGCAGAAGTCGGCCCAAAATTGATCTCATGCCGAAAGGGGGGATCCCGAAACCCCCACCGCAGCGTGAGTACAATTTTGCGTGCAGAATCAAGTATGTCAAACAAGGAGATCGATTATACGCCGATGTGCATTTGACTCGCGACTTTCCCGACGTGCCCCCTCATCTGGTTCGGTCGTCTCGGTGGACAGTGGAATGCTATCAGCCTGTATTCACCCGAGAACCCATACATGTCATAGGAATGCGAAGCCTCCTGGGTGCCATTCGACAGGCCGTTCATGATCCAGCCGAATGGGGGAAATCGTGGTTGATGCTGGGGGGCAACCTGGGGCTTATCCTCTCGCTCTCGAAGGGGCGGTGTCGAGGTCCTCGCCCTCTCATGCTTCATCGCAAGGCAGCCGCGTGGGCTCTAGCCACGAGATCGCGATTCGCATCCGGATGGTTACCTTCCGAGTTGAACCCAGCCGATGGTCCATCCCGTGAGCAAGAGCCATCGGCGCACCCCTCGGGACAGGAGGGCGTGGCGCCCGAGCCACCTGCGGGCCTCGGGTCCGGGGCCCTGCGAGATGGACAGGCCCCCGCGCGTGCCCGCGAGGACAGGCGACCCACCGCCGGCCAAGCGGCAGAAGACCGAGCCGAACGTGGAGAACCTGTGCCGCGCCAGCCGGGCCCCGCCGGGCCATCCCATCCTGGGGTTGCTGGAGGCCAAGAGCGCGAGCCTCGAGAAGGAGCAGACGCTGCGGGAACGTCGAGCCGCACGCCGGCAGGACACCCACGGGCCGCTACGGGACAGGACGAAGGGGCCAGGCATCACCGAGGAGGCCTCGTTGACGCAGAAGACGCGCGGCCAATACCAGAGGCTACTTCAAGATTTCCGAGACAGACAGAGCATCAAGGACCTGAGCTTGCACCCCGCCGTCCTGGATGCGCAGGTCGCGACGTACTTCGACGGGCTCTTCTTGGAGGGGAAGGCCCCCTAAACGGGGGAGAAGCTCGTCGCGGCCATCCAGTGCGTGGTGCCCAGCTACAACGCCAAGGGGATGATGACCCTGCCACGGGCCACCCGCTCCCTGCGCGGCTGGCGCCGCCTGGTGCCTCGTCGGACTCGTCGGCCCCTGCCCTGGGAGGTGGTCGCCGCCATCGCGATGGGGCTCTTGAGGGTCAACGGCCTGGGGGTGATGTTGTGCTGGCTGCTCATGGTCGACACGTACATGAGGCCGGGCGAGCGTCTCGACCTCCAGGTTTCACAAGTGCTCAAGGGCACGGCCCAAAGGCACATGCGCAGAGCCGCGATCATCTGGCATCCCGCGAAGAAGGGGATGCCCAGCAAGGTCGGGGCCGTCGACGAGAGCCTCATCATCGACAGGACGTGGCTGTCGAACGCCCTGATGCAGTACGCGGCGAGCCGGCCCCAGGACGGGGCCCTGTGGGACTTCGCGCTCAAGCAGATGAACGCTAGCTTCCTCACGGCCTGCATCCCCGCCGGCATCGCCAACCTGAAGCGCGTCCTCTACATGGGCCGGCACTCCGGAGCCAGCCTGGACAGGCTGATCAACCGGCTGGACCTCGCCGAGGTGCAACGCCGGGGACGTTGGCGGACGGGGGCCTCGGTAAGGCGATACGAGAAGCGGGCCCTCGTGCAGGAGGTCTACAACGGCCTCGACCCGAAGTCCAAGGCCTACTGCGACCGGAGCGCTCGCGAGCTGGAGGCGGCTGTGGTCCGGGCCTGCGGCGGCGTCAGGGCCGCGAGAGGCGTGGGTTCTTCGTGATTGAGGTGTTCAGCGGCTGCGGAGCCTTCTCCAAGGCCGCCAGGCGCCGAGGCGTGGAGGCCTTCCCTGTCGATGTTCTGCAAGGCGTCGCAGGCGACGTCACGCGCCGAGCTGTTCAACGGTGTATCCGACGTCTCCTGAATCATCCTCGTTGTTTGGGTATCCTTCTGGCACCGCCGTGCACCACGTATAGCAACGCCAGAAGACCGATGATCCGGAGTCGTGAATTTATCGAGGGCCTGCCGACCAGCACCGAGTCGGAGCAGGCCCAAGTGGAAGCAGGCACGTTTTTCACGCGCTTAACAGCCGACCTCTGCAAATATGCGGTCAAATGCGGCGTTCCCTGGGTCATAGAGAACCCTCAGACAAGTCTGATCTGGCACACCGTCGAGTTTCACAGCCTTCGTGGTCTTGCCCAACAGCAGTCACTCACGACGCACTTGTGTGGCTTTGGGGCGCAGTGGAAGAAGCCTACGACATTGTGGACCTGGGGATGGGAAAATATTCAGAAAATGACGGAGCCCGCGGAGCCGCCAGACCGCCACGCAGGCCCAGACGACGGGCGGCGGCGGGGCGGCGACGGAGCCGCCAGACAGCCACGCAGGCGCAGTTACCCTCAGGAGCGTTTGCTCGGCGTGTCGCTCCTGGCTCACCGCGTTCTGGCGCGACACGCTAACCATTTCCCAGTCCTCAAGCGTGAACGCTCCGAGCTCTTCCCAGCCTCCTGCCCCGCGGAGCGGAGCGACGCGATGTGAGTTCGCGGGGCATAGCGTGCCGCCGTGGCCACCGCCGCGACACGCTAAGCGAAAGTTCCCGACCGTATTCCAGGCCGCCCCACGAGGACCGGCAGAGACGGAGTCGGAAGACGGCACGGCATCGCCGGTGCACCCGAAGTGCGTTCGATACTCAGGCCTCTTGCCCCGCCCAGTTGCTTCGACACCATGCGTGCTGCCTCCACCAACAATTCCCCTCCGCCCGCCTCCGTTCTCCGAGACTACCTCCCGTTCTCCTCCTCCTCCTCCTCCTCCTCCTCCTCCTCCTCCTCCTCCCCTTCCTCCCCCTCCTCCTCTTCCTCCTCCTCATCCTCCCCCTCCTCCTCCTCCTCCTCCTCATGATTTCTCCCTCCTCCTTCCACCTCCTCTCCCGCTTCGCCTCCCCTCTTCCTTCTTCTCATTCTCCTTTCTGGGGGGGAGGACCTAGACTCTCTCAGGGGCGCACGTACGACCCCCTAGAGCATGTTCACCATCCTCCCACGGCCATCCTGCCTCTTCTTCTCCACCTCTGCTCCCCCTATTATCCTTTCTCGTCTTCATATCCTTCGTGCCCCCTCCCCAGATTCACCTGACTGGTGATGGAGCGCGGCCATCTGGCAACGGGCACCGCCTGGCTCAAGGGTCTCATGCTAAGCTGGTCCTTGAAAGACAGGGCGGCGCGCGGGGGTCAGCGCCCTACGCGCGGCCATGCAAGGCGCGCGCCGAGAGGGCCAAGCCCGCGTACAGCCCCCCATCGGAAGAGGAAACATCGCCATGACCGTAAACGTGTGGTGCTCCGCGCGGAGCGCCAGACAAGTTTATGCTTGTGGCGTGTTCTCTTTTTCCCTCCCAGTCTTCCCCGGAAGCGGGCTGTTGACAAGGCCGAGCCACCGGGGCCCTCGCGAAAGCTCTCGGCCTGGATCGTGCACCGCCTCCGCCGCAGACGTCGCATGGACAGAGTTTCCTGCGCGGCCCCGGGAAGCTGCCGATGCCTCTCCTCCGCTGCCAAGAACTGCACAGCCCACACTGGCATAGCTGTGGCTGGCGCAAGGGGCACGCGCAAGGCAACGTTGGCACGGGCAACGCTCCGCTCGGGAATCACTGCGAGCTGCAAGCAGGACCCACTGCTCCAGGTCATGTCTGTTACTCAAGCCTAGACAAAGGTGTGAGCATGCGTGAACGTGCCAGACCATCTCGGGGATGATCCATGACACCCTCCCCCCGACCATCGCAAATCAGTTGCGTGGTCATCTCCCGCCGCCGCTGCCTTCTCAGGCTCCTCCCAATCGATGCCGTCGAATACTGAATACCCGTGGCTTCCCCTCGATTCTCTTCAGCGGAGTTGTTTCTTGACCTCGAGAATCGCATTCCTGGTATCAGCATCGCAAATACGGAGGCAGGACATCGTGCAAGTGCAGAACACACTTCTGGCAACGACAAGCGTGCAACGCAGACATATGTCTAACAGTAGCTGACTCCAACACGCAAGCACGCACGTTCATGAGTGACCTCCAATTGTGCCTTGCAGAGCACGCCGTGCGAGAGGCACCTGCACTCCTTCAATGCACGATGTGCAGTCACTTATGCCAATTGCTACACGCCTCCCACAGTCTGAAAGATCACTCGCATCCACCTGCCAGTGGTAACTCCACCCCACTGGTAAACTCCTGCTTAGCTCGCTTGACTCGGGAAATCACCCTCAGGTTTGCATCTGCATATGTAGTGCATCTGGCCGCCTAAGCACTTTGCCTCCCCAGCCCCTTGTGACGATGCAACCGTCTCATCCCGTGCTGAATCCTCTCCTCTTCGCCAGTACAATCGAAGTCCTCTTCTCGACGCTCGAAGCCACCTATCACGGACAGCTTTGAATCAAGACGGGTGCACTTAGCATCCGTACTCGAGCGGCATTGAGCGGCGTAATCATAGGCGGCGGACGCGCGCTACGTCATCCAAAAAGTTCGAAAGGAGATGCCGAAGAATTCACTGTCAACAACGTTGATACACCTGTCTAGCCTCCACAACACCCGCGATGCAACGCTTCAACCGCTGGACTGGAACATAGATCCCCCCGAGCATTTGGATCTCGAAACTTGTCGATAGGTTGATTTCAACTCCCCCCAGGATCAGATCCCGACACCAGCGTCCAGCGTCGCCAGGAACAATTCCTTGAAGGCCCGCATCCTTGCTTTTTATTCCCGCCAGAGCTAGCGTCAAGCGTTGTCCGAGCATCTCCGCCCCAAAGTAGTTACAGTGAGCAAGAAGGTGCAATCTCAGCTGGTCATGACGAACACTGTGAAACGCACTCGTAGCATGATAGAACGTGGTACCTCTGACCAGTCTTGCATCCGTGCGAATGTCGGCATGGATGGGTTCCTCCCTCCGCCCGCGCAACTACCCTCCGCATCCGCAGGCATAGGTTGGCCCCGATTCCACAAGTCGACATAGTAGCTGTGGACACACGAATCATACGAGTACACAAGCTTCTGGCTCGTCCACTCGAGCCCTCTCTTAAGCTCATCTGGAGCAAATGCTTAGCTCTGACGCCATTGCGACGGCGCCTCGCGATGGTGGCGTAGTGCAGGGCAGATCCACTGCAGGCATCGAATGGCATTGGAGACGTCCAACAACGACAATTTTCAGAACGGGCGCACGGGGCAAGATTGGAATGGCGAAGTTCGCCAGAGCGCGCCAACTACTGCCAAACACATGCAGAGAACAAAAAATTGGGCTGCGCGGAGCAGACACAGGCTGTTACGCGCGAGCGGGCGAGAAAGTTCCCAACGCAGCACCAGTGTCTCTAATGCAGCCGCATGCGTTTGCCGCCCATCTTACAGCCCGATCTCGCACTCGCCACACACGCGCGTGGTTCGTAGCATTCACGACGACCTTCGAAATTGCAGAAATTCGCGGCGGAGAAAAAAACAACGAAACCCCACCCCGCCCAACCGAAGCCATGGGCAGCAGAAGTACGGGGAGAAGTGGAGGAAGAGAATATCGAGAGGGACCTTACGCAAATGATGCAGTTTCTTTTGCCAGCGAGAAGTGCGTTATTCCAGCGCGCGGGTCGTATCTGAACGGCGGTTGGTTTGCTTCGGCTGCCTCCGAAAAAGTCGCGAGCAATGTTGTCGAGGGTTGCGTGCGCGGCACCAGCATTCTGGAGGCAAAAGCTTTGGGGATCTGGCGCGAAGGGCTCCAGGAATCCTTTCACGGACGAGAAGTCATCGTAGCTACGTTCTGCACAATGGGTGCATCTCGAGATTCGCTCACGGTCCCAGCTTCTCGGTGCGTACCTTGTCGAATCGCAAATGGGCCCCACGCAAAATTTGAGGGCAAGCAGGGAATGATTCCGGCTCATGCGGGCTTTGATCATCTGAAGTCGGTCCTCTGCCATCCCCCACCTCCTCATGCGACTCCACGCGTGCGTTCACACGCGCAGGCGCACATGCAGCCGGTTCGGTCGGTCAACGTGTTCAGAGCCGTTAGATGGTGATGTTCCAAGGTCTTTCGCAAGAAAGTGTCGCACGGTTGTTCTTCATCAGCGACATATGTGCCAACGTAAGTTGCCGGCCCTCACCGATCACATCCTCGAGTTAGCGCCCATGATCAGTATGGGGATGGTCCTCGCAGGGAGCCGGGCAAACACTTGCGCCGTTCTCTTATTGAGCACCCCGTGACATTCATTCGGAGCGTAGCCAACGGTGAAAGTCAGATCAAGCAACATCTGCATACACGTCACTGCTCCAAGTATCCCTTCTCAACCGCCAGGGCAGAACACATGCGCATCATGTGGCGCCGAATTACGCGGCCCGCCAGCAATGATGCCGGGCCCGTCGGTGGACCCGTTGACCCTGAAGGCCGTGGTCAGCCGAGCTTCTGCGACAGCGAGCAGCTGCGATCTGCTGGCACTGCAGTCCGCGTGATTATGGCGAGCACTGCATGCGGCATGTTAGTGCCGTGCCAGCGCGGCGGCGACCCCAGTGCGGGCGTCCAGGGTTGAGGAGGAGGAGGAAGATGGAGGAGGAAGATGGAGGAGGAAGATGGAGGAGGAAGATGGAGGAGGATGATGGAGGAGGAGGAGGGAGGAGGAGAAGGAGGAGGAGGAGGAGGAGGAGGAGGAGGAGGAGGGGGAGAGCAAAGAAGGAGGAGGACGGACGAGGAGGAGGAGGAGAAGGAAGGAAGAAGTGACGAGAGGACGGCCTTCTCAGAGTCGAGACCCGTACCGGCCCCGCCAGGCTCGTAGCAGGGCCCGTGGTGAGCACGAGCCTGAGAGGCGCGACGGGCCACGGGGCCTGAACATCGGGCCGCGGAATGCCGTCGGCGGCGCCGGCGGCAGCGGCAGCGGCAGCGGCAGCGCACTTGCCACAGCGGTTGCCGCAGCGGCACGGGCGGCGGTGGCAGTTGCGACACCGGCGGCGGCGGTGGCAGCGGCAGCGGCTGCTGCAGCCTCGCCGGCGGCTGAGCCACAGGCAGCAGCAGCAGCAGCAGCAGCAGCAAAGGCGTACAGCGGTGGTGGGCGCCGTCGCAAGAAGCGTCCAGCAGCGGCGCCGCCGATGATGTTATTGCTCCTCCTCCTCCTCCTCCTCCTCCTCCTCCTCCTTCCTCCTCCTCCTCCTGTCCTCCCTCCTCCTCCTCCTCCTCCTCCTCCTCCTCCTCTCCTCCTCTCCTCCTCCTCCTCCTCCTCCTCCTCCTCCTCTCTCCTCCCTCCTCCTCCTCCTCCTCCTCCTCCTCCTCCTCCTCCTCCTCCTCCTCCTCCTCCTGCCTCCTCCTGCTCTCCTCCTCCTCCTCCTCCTCCTCCTCCTCCTCCTCCTCCTCCTCCTCCCCCTACTACTCCCCCTCCGGGGACGGGCTGGTGCAAAACGGAGTGTGCTTGTGAGCTTTGGGATAGGATGCGTCACTAATTCCAGTGCGGGCGCGGCGGCAAGAAGCCCTCGCAAGAAACCCAACCCTGCAAGCCCGCGCGCGAGGCGCACCTGAGGGGAAACCCAGAGCACCCTGAACGCAGCAGCTTCTTCAACGGCTGCGGGAAGTCACCGCGCAGCGCAAGGAGCGAAGAGGCCGTAATGGTGTGCAAGCAACGTCTTGACGAACATTGTATGGTTTCTTGATGCGCGCCCCCACTGTATCGTGTCTGGTCTTTCCATCTGCCTTGGAACCGATTGTCCATGTCCTCCCGTCCTCTTGGGCCTCGGGTGACCCTTGTAGATCTGTCCCAGTGCTCTTTAGCTCTAGGTGCAGTGCTGTCTAGCTTCGATCACGTCCGCCCCCGGGGCGAAATGACTCCCGCGACTGCTCGGGGAATTCGATCTCCCGCGACTCATCCGAATTTGTCTTCACCCTGCCGCTACCGTGCCTTGATTGTGGGCCAGAGGCTTCTTGGATGCCTGATGGTGTCTATTGGGATACCCTTCGGGGGCCTCTTGGAGGCCTCTTGTGGGGACAATTGGTGGCCTCTCGGGACCTCTGGGGAGAGCATCTTGCAGGTCTCTTCAGGGCCGCTTCGGGGCCTCTCGTGGTTTCTGGGGGGATTATTGCATGCATCTTGAGGATATTGGAGGATGTTCTCATTGTAAAGCTTGCCTCCGTCCCTTCCTGCCCTCTGCGGCCCCAGAGATCTGGACCCCTTCCCTGGTGGTACTTAGTTTTTCGTCCCAGATTCATTTTTGATTGTCCCGGGGCCCCAGAACGAGCCCTAGAAGCCGAAATATACGAAAAACGCCGCGGTGGAGGTGGCGACGACGACGACGACGACGACGACTACGACGACGACGACGACGACGACGACGACGACGGCGGCGGCGGCGGCGGCGGCGGCGACGACGTCGACGGCGACAACGGCGGCGGCGACGACGACGACGACGAGGGGCCGTGGCGGCGGCGGCGGGCGGCGGCGAAGGGCCCCGAGCCTCGCCCGGGGGGCTCGGCGGGGCGCGAGGCGCGACGACTTGGCGGAGCGGCTGCGGGAGCGGGAGCGGCTGGCCGCTGGCCTGGGAGCGGCCGGCCGTCGGAGGGGCCGGGCTTCCGACGGTGCGATTTTTGTTGTTGCGCGTGTCGCTTGCGGTGGCTCATTGGGAGGAGGAGGAGGAGGAGGAGGAGGAGGAGGATGAGGAGGAGGAGGCGGAGGAGGAGGAGGAGGAGGCGGAGGAGAAGGACCAGTTTTAGCCCAGGGAAGAGTGACCCTTCGCCGGAGTGACCTCTTCGCTGCGCGCTTTGACATTGCAGCGGCCTGCGCGCCTGGGTCTGTCCACCTCGCGCCCCCTGGAGCCGCGCACCAGGGGTCACTCTTGCCCGGGGTCACTCCTGCGTGTACGGCAGGTTCGCGTCGTGCCGACCGGCGGCGACCCCAGCGCGTGCGTTTAGGGTCGAACGCCGCCCGTGGGCCAGAAGCGGCCCGTCGTTGAACGATACGGCGTTCACGGAACGGCCGATCGTTCAAGTTTGAACGATCCCCAAAGTGTCAGGAACCAGCGGCAGGGTGGACACGACGCGAACCTGCCGTAGCCGAGCGGCGTGCCCGCCCCAAAGTACCCGTCGGGCCGAGGTATAAGATCGAGGTCGGTTCCGGGGGGGGGGGGCCTGAGGTTCTTCGTGCTTGTGGGACGTTCTTTCAGGAGCGACAGAAGGACGTACACGTACATGAATCCGCGTTGGTTTCGAGAGTATGCATTGCGCGAATGTTCGTATCACGCGGACGGTCTCGCGGATCGAGTGGCCGTGTTCATGTACATGGTTGGGCGCGTACGTCCTTTGTGGGCTCCCTATTCTTGTGCCTCCTGGGGGAGGGTAGCCTGGAATGTTCTGCAGCTCGGCCGGCGGAGGGTCTCATGTTCTTGGGGACGAAGCTCTTCTGTCCTAGGCCCGGCCGCACTGTTTGATAAGCAAAAAGGCTGAAGTCTCCCCAGTGTTCGGCCTCTGGAGGTCCTCGCCGGGCCCTCGAAAAACGGCTCGGGATCGAACAACAGGCCCTGGGGACTGGGTCTGGACTTCTGGGGACTGCGCATTGACAGAATCAGGAAGTCGGATCTTTGGGCTCGCGCAGTGAAGAATCAGGACGACAGGTTTTAGACAATGTTCGGCCCTTGGGGAGTCCTCGCCAGGCCCTGGGACCGTCAGAAAACGACTCGGGATGGAAAGCCCGTCCCCAAGACTGGGTCGACACTTCGGGCGGCCCGTATTGAAAAATCAGAGCATCGGATGTCTGGTTCGGCGACCTGGTCCTTAGAGTTCGGAAGCTCTCGCTAGCTCCTGAAGGTGTTCTCGCCCCAGGATGCTCTCCAGCAGCTGCACCTCGCCGAGAGAATTCTTGGGGGCCCGGGTCGCCCCATACGGCCGCCGAGCCCGAGTTGTGGCCCGACAGCCAGGCCGCCGACGAGAAGGTTTTTCAGCCGCGGCCCCAGGACTTATCAACAACGGATCCTGGGCGCAGAACTAGCTAGATACTCATGCAGGGAAGGAGTCGGGAGCTCTGTGGCCGCGGATTGGGAAAGCCACCACGTCGGAGGATGTCTGGACCCCTCCATGGGCCCACGTCGATCTGGCCGGTCCGATCCGATGTCGATTTCGGCCAGCCCGGCCCGATCAGGTTTCGACGTGCGGGCAATCTGGTGCGGCCCGATGCTCGTGAAGGCGCTGGCGGGCACCTGTACGACCGACCGATGCAGCTCGTTCTGGGCTCCGTGCCGATGCGGCGAGGTCCGACGCACACACCGATTAGATCCGACCTCACGAATTGGTGTCAGCTGATCCTGTCCCCCCCGTCTGTGTTGCGGGGATCTATGATAAACCCATATCCACCGCCTGGGGAGCCGACGTCCTGGGACCCCAGCGGGCGGTGGATATGGATACATTTTGGCCCCAGGGGGCCCGAAGATATCCATATCCAGATCCAGCGCCTGGCGAAGTCCCCGAAGACCGATCCCACGGGCCGTCCACAAAACCACTCGGGATGAGAAGCTGGCCCCGGGGAAGGGATCCAGACCCTTTGGAGCCCACATTGCAAGAAAATCACGGCATCGTAGAAAAGCCAGGGCTTGTGAGGGGGAGGATGAGGAGGACGAGGAGGAGGAGGACGAGGAGGAGGATGAGGGGGAGGAGGAGCAGGAGGAGGAGGAGGAGAAGAAGGAGGAGGAGGAGGAGGAGGAGCAGGGGGAGGACGAGGAGGAGGAGGAGGAGGAGAGGAGGAGGAGAGGAAGAAAAGAGGAAGAGGAGAGAGGAAGAGAGAAGAGAGGATGAGAAGAGGAGAACAGAGAGGAAAACAGGAGGAGGACGAGGAGAGAAGGGGGAGAGGGAGAGGAGGAGGAGGAGGAGGAAGCAGGAGGAGGAGGAAGAGGAGGAGGAGCAGGATGAGGAGGCGGAGGAGGAGGAGAGGAGGAGGAGGAGAGGAGGGAGGAGGAGGAGGATACAAGGAGGGAGGAGGGGCGAGGAGTGGAGGACGGAGGAGAGGAGAGGAGGAGGAGGAGGGAGGAGGAGGAGGAGGAGGAGGAGGAGAGGAGGAGGAGGAGGAGGAGGTGGAGGAGGAGGAGGAGGAGAAACAGGAGGGGGAGGAGGGGCAGTAGGAGGAGCAGGAGGAGGAGAAACAGGAGGAGGAAGAGGAGGATGGAAAGGACGAGGAAGATGATGGTGATGATGATGCCGATGTTGTTGATGATGGTGATGATGGTGATGATGATGATGATGCTGATGATGATGATGATGATGATGATGCTGATGATGATGCTGATGACACTGATGATGGTGATGCTGCTGCTGATGATGATGCTGATGATGCTGATTATGATACTGATGGTGATGACGACGCTGATGATGATGGTGATGGTGGTGAGGATGAGTATGCTGATGCTGATGATGATGATGGCGATGATGATGATGATGATGATGATGCTGATGATGATTATGATGATGATGGTCATGATGATGATGGTGATGGTGATGATGGCGACGATGATGGTGATGATGATGGTGGTTGTGATGATGATGGCGAGTATGCTGGTGATGATGATGGTCATGATGATGATTATGATGGTGATGATGATGATGCTGCTGCTGCTGCTGATGATGATGATGATGATGATGATGATGATGATGATGATGATGGTGGTGGTGGTGGTGGTGATGATGATAATGGTTGTGGTGATGATGATGGTGATATTCATGGCCGCGTCTGAACAACACCCCTCGGACCCACCGCCCCGCCTCGATGGGGATGGTCGGCTGTTGTCGCCCGCAAGGGGTGAGGAGAGTAGGGGTGCGCCGCGCGTGGCGGCCTGGGCCGCAGAGCTGCCCTTGTCCGCGGGTGGCGGCGCGAGGGCGCGAAAGCGACCGCGCACCGCGGGGCGCGAGGCGCGAAGCTGGGCGGCCCAGGTCGAGGGCCGAGCTCCGAGGCCGCGGATCGGGGGAGGACCGAGGGTCGAGCCCCGAGGCCGAGGGTCGAGGGAGGGTCGCAGAGCGGCCCTGCCTTCAGGGCGGATGGCGCGAGGCGCGAAGCTGGGCGGCTCAGGTCGAGGGTGTCGAGCTCCGAGGCCGCGGACCGGGGGAGGATGGAGGGTCGAAGACGGCGGAGGCGGCAGCAACTTCGGCCAGGAGTCGTGCGGGCGTTTCTCGAGGCTCTCCATCGCCACGGCTGGACGCAGCCTGAAAAATCGGCAAGGGCGGACCGCGGGAGAGGTTCGAGAACTGATTTTGAGCGGAACTATCATGTGGAGGAGGGGGAAAAGGAGGAGGAGGAAGACGAGGGTGAGGGTGGAGGAGGGATCATGAGGAGGCGTAAGAAGAATGATCGCGGCTCGAGGTTCGAAAGGTCGAGACTTGTGACGTTCTCCGCCTCCCTTGTCTGCTTCCGGGAGGCCCTCGTCGCCACGGCGACATTCCCCGTCCAAGAACTCTACGTTCTTAGAACACACGCCGAGGGGAAGAGGGGGACGAGGCTCGCAAAGGTCGTGCCAGGAGTTGTATTCGGGCTCTGGGTGCCTGTTCAAGGCCCCCGGAGCCCCCAGAAGCTTGTCCAGAGCGGAAAATTTAACAGGTCCAGGCGGGATCCGGGGGCCGATTTGGGGCGGATGCGGGTCGAGAGAAGAAGTCGCCGAGCCGACCAGCAGGAGAAAGAGAGCCGCCGAGGCTGGGATCAGGGCGCAGAACGAGCCCGCCGAGTGGTTCCTGCAGCGCGTGGAGAGGAGGCCCCTCCGGCACCCTCCTGATTGTACGCAGTACTCTGCTCTGGTGATGCATCCTCCTCCTCCTCCTCCTCCTCCTCCTCCTCCTCCGCCTCCTCCTCCTCCTCCTCCGCCTCCTCCGCCTCCTCCTCCTCCTCCTCCTCCCCTCCTCCTCCCCCTCCTCCTCCTCCTCCTCCTCCTCCTCCTCCTCCTCCTCCTCCTTCTCTCCTCCTCCTCCTCCTCCTCCTCCTCCTCCTCCTCCTCCTCTCCCCCTCCTCCTCCTCATCATCCTCCTCCTCCTCCTCCCTCCTCCTCATCCTCCTCCCTCCTCCCCCTCCTCCTCCTTCTCCTCCTCCTTCTCCTCCTCCTCCTCCTCCTCCGTATTCTCCTCCTCCTGCTCGTCCTCCTCCTGTTTCGCCTCCTCCTCCTCCTCCTCCTCTCCCTCCTCCTTCTCCTGCTCCTCCTCCTCCGTCCCCAGACCCCATCCCGTCATGACAAAAAACGCGACGAGAAGTTTTTGGCAGTTCGGAGCCTCCTGGGGCTCTCTCCGGGCCTCGGAACCGTCAACAACAACTGAAGATGAGAAGCTGGTCTGAAGAAGGGGTTCAGATCTTTGAGGAGTCACGTTGTGAAAAAAGCGGGACGTCGGATGCTTGAATCCTTCTCCCCATTTGAGGTTCGAGGCTTGTTCCTCGAGGTTTGAGGGATCGAGTGTAGAGGTGTTCTAAGTTTCGGTCGCTTCTGTCTGCCTTTCCCGGACATCCCGAGGCATCTTCCCTTCTTCCTCCCCCTCCACCTTCTCCTTACTCCTTCCCTCCCTCCCTCCCTCCTTGATCTGAATGCTCTGGCGATGCCTCCTCCTCCTCCTCCTCGTCCTCCTCCTGCTGCTCCTTCTCCTCATCCTAATCCTCCTTCTCCTCCTCCTTAGCCTCCCCCGTCTCTTCCTCCTCCTCCTCCTCCTCCTCCTCCTCCCCATCATGGCAGCATCATCAGCATCAGCATCAGCATCAGCATCAGCATCAGCATCAGCATCATCATCACAAGTATCAGCATCATCATCCGCTGTCCTCATACTAGTTTCTCCTCCTTCCTTCCCCCTCCTCCTCCTTCCCCCTCCTCCTCCTCCTCCTCCTCCTTCTCCTCCTCCTCCCCCTCCTCCTCCATCTCCTCCTCCTCTGCCCCATCCCTCCGCTGCAAGGGCAGCAGAGGAGGGGCGCCCCGTGGTTTCCCCTGCCGCCCTTCTGCGCCCCCTCGCCTCCGGCACCCGTCTCCATCCCGGTGCCCGCTGCCCCGCCCCTCGCGTGCGCCAGGTGGATGTGGTTGCTGGAGAGGGAGGAGAAGATGGAGCAGAGGCGCTCTCCCCTCTCCTCCTCAGGGGCAACGTGAGGGGTGGACGCGATCACGAACCCTGGCTCACTCTAACGTGTCGCGCCGCCTGTTCTGGCACACCACGCTTCGGCGCGACACGCTATGCTTTTCGCGGTCCCCAGGCGTCCACATGCCGAGCTGCGACAAGATATCCGTTTGCAAGGCAGCGTGTCGCCGGGGCCGCCGTCGCGACACGCTAAGCAAAAGTTCGTGACCGCAGGCTCAGGGGTCGGGCGGGGCTGGGACGCTCTGAAAAGGCCGCGGCGCCCGATATATCCTCCGGAGCAGCCGAGTCTCAGAGATTCCTGGGAGGTTTAATTCAGCGTCGGCGCTGGTATATCCGTGGTCGAAAACCAGCCCAATCCGGCGCAGTCCCGTTCAATTCCGCCTGATCCCGCCTAGTCCTGCCGAGTCCGACCTATTCCTGAGCTCAATCAGGCCTGATGGCCGCTCGATCGGGCTTAAATGCTTTTCCCCGTTCTTGCGAAGGCCTCGCAGGAGCTGCCTCCTAAAAACCGGAAGGGCGCGGAGGTGGTCCCGCCGCGTGGCTTGAGCTGAAGTGGTGTTCTTTCTCTTTCTCTCTGTCTCTCTTTCTATCTGTCTCTCTCTCTCTCTCTCTCCCTCTGTATATGCCTCTGGAGGCTCCGGGGGCAGCGCGAGAGCTCGAAAACGGGTGGCCTGGCGCAGGAGGCAGCAGAGCAACGGGGGAGGGAGGAGGAGGAAGGAGGAGGAGGAAGGAGGAGGAGGAGGAGGAGGAGGGAGGAGGAGGGAGGAGGGAGGAGGAGGAGGAGGAGCTCCTCGCCACCTGCGCGCTGCTGCTCTACACTGGCGGCGCGGCTCACCTGAAGCTGAGAGGAGGTTGGTGTTTGCGTTGCGTTCGTGTTCTGGCCGGCACTGTCCTTGCAGGAGGAGGACGAGAAAGAGGAGGAAGAGGAGGAGGAGAGGTGGGGCAGAGGAGGAGGAGGAGGAGGAGGAGAAGGAGGAGGAGGACGGAGGATCGGGAACGGCCAGGAGGGGGGGGATGCCTACGGGGGGTGGATATCAAGGCGGGGGCCATGATATTTCCCCAGGTTTCATGGCGCCTCTTCGTGTTTCAATACTTCTACGGTCCCCCACCCCCCGACCCCTGGGCCGCGCACATGCCGCCGGCCATGATTTGCGCCCCCCCCCCCTCTTGGACGCCCCCCACTTGGCCGCCCACGAGAGGAAGGAGGACGGAGGAACGAGACCTAGCTGAGAAGACCTCTGAGGAGCTGCCTCCTGACGTTCGCTCGTGGCGTAGGCGGGTTGGGCACGTTTCTCTGTTGTGTCTCCCCCATCCCTGGGCCGCCCGTTCTGGCGTCGCGGCCCTACGCAAGTCTGAGGAGGCCCAAGACATGAGAAAAGTGCCGCCACGACCGTCTGACGCTTGGAGGTGTACGGTCGGACCGAAGTGCAAGATCGAGGTCGGCTTTTCGTGCCTGTGGCATGTGTTTGTGCATCCTGGGGTGGCTTGGCCGGCGGAGGGTCTCAAGTTCTTGAAGGATGTTCTTCTGTCCCAGGTTTGGCCACAAGGGTTGTGCTGTGCCTTCGTGCCGCGCCGCGCTGTCACGGTGCGTGCTGTGCAGGTCGGTGCCCGTTGACGGTCTGGCCGCGGCAGATCTGTGTGCGTGGGCAGAGAAGGAGGAGCGAGGGGCGGGTCGGACGAGCGTTCCTCCAGCTCCGCCACGCCTCCGTTGCGGGCGGCGATCACCGTTCCGATCAGCATCACAGTCTTCCTCATCACCATCACCGTCACCATCAACACCACCACAATTGTCGTTGCCAGTGCGAACTGTATACATCCTCACCCGCGTCATTCGACGCCCTTCGGGGACCACCCAGTAAAAAGGAGCGGTGAAGCACAGATTAGCATGGCCCCTGCGCAAGGACGACACGCACAAATCACCATCGTCGCCATCATCGGCATCATCATCCTCATCGCCACCATCGTCATCCTAGCCCTTATCGTACCCTCCTGTTTCTCCTCATGGTTATCTTCCTTCCCCCCCCAAAAAAAATGTCACTGCGTGGAGATCCCCATATGTGAATCTTTTCAAGGAAATGCGCGTCTAGCCATGCAACACAACATGCGAATATCAGGTTGAGACATCCCCACAGAACGGCCACGAACGGAGCCTCGAAAACACCAAACACCCTTGGCGGCTCCCCCTAGGGGTGCTGAAACCAGCGCCCCGCCTGAGACATCCGCACAATCTACTCTGGTAGCCAAGGATGCTGGGACAGAAAACAATCAAACCGCTTGAGGCATCCCCACAAAACGGCCGCACACGGGACCATGAAATCACCCCTGGCGGCTCCCATTAGGGGTGCTGAAACCAGCGCCCCGCAAGTCTGAGTATGAGGTAGTCTGGGTATGAGTGAGTCTCAGCATGAGTAAGTCTGAGTAGGAGTAGATCTGAGTATGAGTAGGTCTGAGTTTGAGTAAGCTTGTGTCTATTCGCATGGACCTGTCCGCCGTGAAAGTCTAGGCGCAAGAGCTTTCGAATATAAACAGGCTTCAGTTGTGACGGCCTGGTCATGAATCTAACTGAGAATGAATTGGAGTGTGAATGAGCCTCAGTAGTACGAGCGCGTCTCTGCGCATGAGCCTGGGTCCTCCCGGGGCCTCCTGGGGCCTCCTGGAACATATTGGGGCTTCCTGGGGCCTCCAGGAGCCTCTTGGGGCCTCCTGGGGCCTCCTGGGACCTCCAAGGGGGGATTCGTGCCCCAGGAGAGGCGCAATATATATATATATATATATATATATATATATATATATATATATAGCAACAGACGTACATAATACATTGCGGATTGGAGCCGCAGGAGAAGGGGGCAATCTATAGGAACACACGTAAAGCACCAAGGATTCGTGCCCCAGGAGAGGCCCTATAGGAACATAAGTACACAGGAGAAGGACACTAAATATAGAAACATGCGTATGACATCCAGGATTCGTGCTCCAGGTGAGGCCCCATCTATAGAGGCATACATCAAACACATGGGATTGGAGCCACTCCTGTTGCCTTCTGAGGCCTCCTGCTCCTGGGGCCTCTCGGGGCCTCCTGTTGCCTTCCGAGGCCTCCTGGCGCTTCCTCTGGCCTCCTGGGGCCTCCTGTGGCTTCCTGGGGCCTCCCGGAGCTTCCTGGGGCCTCCTAGAGCCTCTTGGGACATCATGTGGCGTCTTGAGTCTGTCTGTGGCCTCCTGATGCCTCGTGGGACCTCGTGTGGGCTCCTGGGGCCTCCTGGAGCCTGTTGGAGCCTCCAGTGGCATCCTGAGGAGAATCTGTGCCCGCGAGTCTGGCCACCGACCGAGACATCCTCAAAATCTGGCCCACCTGGGACGTGAAAATGAGCGCCTCGCTCGAGACATCCTCCAAATCTGCTCCGAAAGCGAAGGATGTTGGGACAGAAAACAGGCAAACCGCTTGAGACATCCCCGCAAAACGACCGCGAACGGGACCGTGCAACACCCCTCGGCGGCTCCCCTCAGAGACGTGAAAATGAGCGCCTCGCTCGAGACATCCTCCAAATCTGCTCCGAAAGCGAAGGATGCTGGGACAGAAAACAGGCACACCGCTTGAGGCATCCCCGCAAAACGGCTGCGAGCGGGGCGTGCGTGAGTCTCAGCATGATTAAGTTTGAGTAGGAGTAGGTCTGAGTATGAGTAGGTCTGAGTATGAGTAATTTTGTGTGTGTGAGTAAGTCTTGGTATGAGTAAGTCTGAGTGTGAGTCAGTCTGTGTATGAGTAAGTCTGGGTATGAGGAGGAGAGGGGAGGAGAAGGAGAAGAAGAAGGAGGAGAAGTCGGCGGCGTCCAAGAAATAACAAGAACCCCATTTTAGGATATGGGGAAACACAGAAAACTCCCTTTCTGCCCCTCCGTTCCTCCATCATAACAGGTGTACGCCGCCCCCTTCCCTCATTCCGCTCCAAACACACACCTCGTCTTCCTCATCCTTCTGATATCGCTCCTTTTCTATGTTATCTGTCTCTCTCTCTCTCGCGCGCTCTCTCTCTCTGTCCCTCCCCTCTCCCTCTTTGTCTCTTCAATGTTACGTATCTCTCTGTCTCTCTCTCGCTCGCCCGTTCTTACTCTCCCTGAATATGTTTTTCAGCGACGACGACGAAGGACGAACACGAAGGACAACGACGACGACGACGACGACGACGACGACGACGACGACGACCACGACGACGACGACGACGACGACGACGACGACGACGACGACGACGACGACGACGACGACGACGACGGCGCGCCAGAGGGCGAGAAGTTACGACGAGCAGCTCGAGGCGCAGGTGCGCGCCGAGGAGGAGAGGGAGGAGAGGCACACGCAGGCGCGGCTCCAAGAGGCGGGCGGGCGGGGGCCCTCCCGAGCCGAGGCGTCCCCCCCCTTCTCTCCTGCTGCAGGGGGGGGGCGTGGAGAGAGCACTCGGCGGAGAGCTCCTCCTCCTCCTCCTCCTCCTCCCCCTCCTCCTCCTCCCCCTCCTCCTCCTCCTCCTCCCCCTCCTCCTCTTCCCCCTCCTCCTCCTCCTCCTCCTCCTCCTCCTCCTCCTCCTCCTCCTCCTCCTCCTCCTCCTCCTCCCTCCTCCCCTCCTCATCCTCCCCCTCCTCCTCCCCTCTCTTCCTCTCTCCTCCTCCTCCTCCTCCTCCTCCTCCTCCCCCTCCTCCTCCTCCTCCTCCTCCTCCTCCTCCTCCTCCTCCTCCTCCTCCTCCTGCTGCGCTGCTGCGAGCCAGGAGCGAAGTCCTCTCGGCCACTGGGACGGGCCGAGCAGCCGTCGAGAGAGGAGGCCTCACCACTGCAATACCCTCGCGGAGCCCCGTCGGAGGAGCCATCGCCTGTGCACGGGCGGCGCGCGCGGGGAGCAAGAGCGAGGAAAGTGACACCCTCGCGACGGGAGACCCTGAGCAACTCGCACAGATCACGACGGGGGGCCACGATCGGGGGCGAGCGAGGGGTTAGTGAGAAGGTGAAGGCCTTCCGAGAAGGCGGCGGGGTTTCTCAGAAGCCCTCAAGCCTTCAGAGAGGTTTTCGGTGTCTGCGGGGAAGGCTGCTCAGAAGGCTGGGGTACTTCCGAGCCTTCTGAGAAGGCCCGCCCCGTCTCACTTCCACCCCGGGCGCGCCGCCTGGAAGACCCCGAGCAGCTCACACAGACAACGATGGTGGGCCACGATCGGGGGCCTGGGGCCAAGCCGGCCAGGGGGACCAAGATGGGCCATCGCGTTCGAGGGCCCCGCATCCCTCACCGGGCGTTGGAAGAATGAGCCAGAACCTCGTTACAGACAGACAGGCTGTTTCAGGTGACGTTTGTGTGACTTCCGGGTTTCCGGAGTCGGCCAGGTCGCGGGGGCACAGCGGAGCGTGGCGCGGGACTGTGTGTCTTTGTCCGCGGGGGGGAGCCTGGTTTCGTTTCTGGTGCCGCAGATCTGAGCGTGTCTGCTCTAGCAGGGGGGCTGCGGTAGCGGGGCGGTGGCTGTGGAGAAGGAGCACCCGCGCCATTGTCCAGCAGCGAGCCATGCATCTCGCAGTGTGCGGCAGTGGATCTAGGCTTCCTCATTTGGGGTCGCTGCATCGGCCTGGGCGGTACAGCGCTGCATTGTGCAGCATCGGCCGTCACCCCTGTCGATTGGGGTTGCGGATCTGCTTCGCGAACTCCTTTCACGTGGCTCGTAATGCGAAGGGCTCGCGCGCGAGCTAACATGACCAGCCTCGAAACATGTGGCATTGTTACGGTCGGGGCGTCCATCCAGGAATGTGCCCAGGAGGCTCCAAACCCTGGAGGACTATTTATTTGATGAGGGCGGCGGTGATGCCCATGGCCAAGCCTCAGATGGAGTTCCACCAGCTTCGAGACCCTGGGTTCCTCATCCACTGGTTCCTCATCCAGTGCCCTCGCCGCACGGCGAAAGGGAAAGCGGATCCAGGCTTCCTCCCGGCAGCAGCGGCCCTTGGGACACAGCAGGAGGCACGGGGGCCTGCGGTCGCTTGCCGATCGGCGGCGGCCCTCCCACCCTCCCCCCCCAGGAGCGCCATGTGATGCATCCGCGCTGGCTCTGAGGCGCCCCCCTCGGCCCTCTCCCCCTCCTCCCTTCCACTCCTCATCCCACTTTACCTCCTCCTCTTCCCCCGCCCTCCTCCTCTTCCCCCGCCCTCCTCCTCCTCCTTCTCCTGCTCCTCCTCCTCCTCATCATCATCATCCTCCTCATCCTCCCCCATCTCCTCCTGCTCCTCTCCCCTCTCCTCCTCCTCCTCCTCCTCCTCCTCCTGCTCCTCCGCATCATCATCATCATCATCATCATCATCATCATCATCATCATCATCATCATCATCATCATCATCATCATCATCATCATCATCATCATCATCATCATCATCATCACCATCACCATCACCATCATCAGCATCATCATCATCAGCAGCAGCAGCATCATAATTGTCATCTTCATCAGCATCATCATAATAATCATCAGCATCATCATCATAACCACCTTTATCGTCATCATCATCACAATCATCATCATCATTATCCTCCTCCTCCTCTTCCTCATCAGCATCATCATCATCAACAGCATCATCATCATCCTGCTCCTCCGTATCATCATCCTCATCCTCGTCATCATCATCCTCCCCTCTTCCTTATCCTTCTCCTCCTCCTCCTTCTCCTCCTCCTCCGCATCCTCATCATCAGCATCAGCATCAGCATCAGCATCATCATCATCAGCAGCAGCATCATCATCATCAGCATCATCATCCGCATCCTCATCCTCGTCCTCCTCCTCATCATCATCATCATCCTCATCCTCATCCTCATCCTCATCCTCGTCCTCCTCCGCCTCCTCATCCTGCTCATCCTCCTCCGTATCATCCTCCTCATCCTCCTCATTTTCCTCCTCCGCCTCCTCCTCCTTGTCCTCCGTATTCATTCCCTTTTCCCAGCAGGCCCCTATTCAGGGGTCGTCCACAAACGGCTCGGCCGGCCGAGGCGCCCGCCGACGTCCACCAGGCCGTCGGGGATACCGCGGTCGGCGAGTCGGGGGGGGGGGGCGCGCTGGTGCTGGCCAGGAGAAAGTCCCTCGTGCGTCCGCCCCTCCGCACCTGCGGAGACCGCCGAGGAGTTGAGCGTTCCTTCCCGCGCGCCCGCCTCCTCCTCCTCCTCCTCCTCCTCCTTCTCCCTCCTCCTCCTCGTCATCATCATCATCATCATCATCATCAGCAGCAGCAGCATCAGCATCATCATCAGCATCAGCATCAGTATCAGCATCGTCCTTATCATCATCAGCAGCATCAGCATCATCAACATCATCAGCATTATCATCCGCATCCACATCCTCATCCGCATCCTTGTCCTCCTCCTCCTCCTTATCCTCCTCCTCCTCCTCCTCCTCCTCTCCTCCTCCTCCTCCTCCTCCTCCTCCTCCTCCTCCTCCTCCCTCCCTCCGCCTGCTCATCTTCCACCTCCTCCTCCTCCTTCTCCTCCTCCTGCTCCTCTTCCTCTTCCTTCTCCTCCTCCTCCGTCTGCGCCTCCTGCTCCTCCTCCTCCTCCTCCTCCTGATCCTCCTCCTCTTCCTCCCCTCCTCCTCCTCCTCCTCCTCCTTCTGCTCCTCCTCATCATTCTCCGCATCCTGCTTTTCCTCCTCGTCTTCTTCCTCTTCCTCCTTCCTCTTCCTCCTCCTCCTCCTCCTCCTCCTCCTCCTCCTCCCTCCTCCTCCCCCTCCTCCCCCGCCGCCGCCTCCTCCTCCTTCTCCTCCTCCTCACCCACCAGTTGTCCGGCACGCGGCTCGCCCGCTCGCCTGCTTGTCTGCCCTCTCGCCAAGAGGGGCGCTCCAGAGCCGGCCTCTCCAGTGTCGTTGTCTTCCGCGGCGGAAGGCCGCAGAAGTAAACCGAGGGCGCCTCCGTCGGCAGAAGGCTGGCGGAAGTTGGCGGAATAGGAATTCGCCTCCCCAGGAGACGCCACTTTGTTGTGGGTTCATGGTTTCTGGAAGGCGGGTTGTCTGGTCACGGCGGTCGCCTCTTACCACCAGCTTGTCTGGATCGGCTACGCGTAAGAGTGGCCGTTTGCCAGGTGCGGACACGCAGGTGCCCTCCGCAGCACCTGCATGCTCGCTTGGACCTGTTCCCCCCGCGGCCCCCTGAAGCCAGGCAGCAAAGGTCATTCTTGCCTCGGGTCGCTTGGGCGCGTAGCCCGCTGGAGGCGGAAAACAGCTGATTTGGAGGAAGAGAGCAAACTCTGATGCGAAACAGATACCGATACCGCTGCCCTTCTCTCGACGCCACGGCTGGATTTGCCTCGAAATCCTGGTTTAGACGAATCTTGGGAGGGATCTGGGGAGCAGCGGTATCGGCATCTTGGGAGGAGGGGGGATCGAGGTTCGAGGTTTTTGGGCGCGGTCTGCCCTTCCTGAGTCCATGGAGGCTCGCGGAGCTGCCCGACGCGAGAGATTCCTAGCATGGCAACGACCAGACCCGATGGCGTTGTCAAGTTCCATGGCAGCGCAAAGTAGGGGGTCGGCGCCAGCAGCATCAGCGACAGCAGAGGCAGAAGAGAAGCGCTACAGGCAGTGTGCAGAAGCGATGTGAGATCGAGTCACTGTCTGACGTTCGCACGCAAGCTGCTATGGTCCCCAAGGTGGAGAGAAGGCTTGCAAGGGCCGAGAAGGAAGCCAAGACGGTGAAGAACCAGGCGCGGAGTGAGCCACGTCTCATGGGGGGCGTCAGAATTGTGATGGTGGTGCTTCTCCATGTCTTCTTCGTGTTTTTTGCGTGCTGCACTGCAAGGCGGCCAGAGTGTAATTTCCCCCGCGGGCTGGAGTGGAGAGACGCAATCGAACAAAAATATATCGGTTCGAGCATCCCCTTCCATATTTGACCAGTTGCATTATGCAAGCACGCGATGCCCGCTTTGAACCATGAGCGTGGCAACCGCGAGGTGGGTAGACGAATGTAGTGGTGGTTAGATTCGCATGTTCAATGGTGTCTAGAGCCTATCAGGGTCAGAGCAGCTATCAGGAGAAGGGCGTAGAATCGATGGGTCGGCATTTCTAGCGCGGTTGGACTCCAAGAATTCGCCGCAGATTGCAAAAGAACTCCAGGCATGTGGCGCATACGGCCAGCACCCGGGACCCCCGACGTCGCCATCTGTTCACAGCGTGGTTCCCCAGACGTTTGGGACCCCTTCCCGGGGACCGGCTTCTCGTCCAGAGTCGTGTTTAGGGCCCCCCCGCGGGTTGAAAATAGCCGAACAATTCCCGCCGATATTGCTTCATGACGCGAGAAGCTGGTTCGTCGGTGTCATATCTCGGGTATCTGGCGGCCGTTCGGGACGTCTCGGGTACCCTGGGAACGCTCTCGGCGCGGCGCAGCTGCTGGAAAGCATCCCGAGGCCTGAACACCGTAGAGCACCACGGCTGCGCTTGAAAACCTCGAACCTCGACCCATCCGACCTCGAAGCTCGACCCACCCACCCTAAAACCACGACTGCGGAGATCTCCCACGCTCATAGACTACGCGGCTCTCCGCAGCGGGCTCTCACGACGGGCGAGCGCATTTTGGGCCAGGCTCCTGGCGAGCGCCGGGGTCCACCTCTGTGGTGCGGCACGGAGCTCTCCGGTGAGCGCCCCTCGGCGTTGAGGCTCCCCTGCGGAGGAGGGGCGGAGTTCGGGGAGGGGGGAGGGCGAGCGGGAAAGCAGGGGGGAACGAGAGAGGAGGAAGGGAGGAAGGAGGAGGAAGAGGCGGAGGAGGAGGAGGAGGAGGAAGAGGCGGAGGAGGCGGAAGAAGAAACGCCCCGACCCCCGTAATCCCACCAGCCCTCCGGGCGTAGGTGGTCTAGGGAGTTTCCTCTTCCAACCCCCTTCTTCCCCTTCGGGGAGGGGTTTACCTCTCCCCCCTACCCCCTCCCCTGGACCTGGACGGGGGGGTTCGCGAGCGGTCAGAGCTTCCAAGATGGCCCAAGACGGCTCCAAGAGGGGCTCAGAGAGCCCGAGGTGAACTCCAAGATGGTTCAGGATAGCGCAAGATGCCTCAAGATGGCTTCCGAGATGCTCCAAGAGGCTCCAAGACCGCCCCAAGACGGCTCCAAGAGGCCTCCGAGACTTCCAAGGAGGCCTCCAAGAAGCCAAAATCCTACAGAAACCAGAAGAAAACCAATGATGTTTGCCTTCTCGCCTTTTCGCTTCCGATGGCCATCCGAGGCCTCAAGATGGCTCCAAGATGGCCCAAGAGGGCCGCAAGAGGGGCCCAAGAGAGCCCCAAGACGGCCCCATCTAGGAGCGCCCCAAGACTGGTCCAGGAGGCTATTTGGGGGGCTCCCGAGAAGGGCGTAATTAGGGAACCCCCTTCTTTGATCGATCTCCTCCAAGATGGCCCCGAGAGCGCCTCCCAAAGCCTCCCAAGAGCGCTCCAGGAGGACCCCAAGAGGCACCCAGACGGCCCCAAGAGGCGCCCAAAACGCTTCCAAGAGGCCTCCAAGAGACCCCCCAGAGGCCTCAAGAGGATCCCCGAGGCACCCAAGAAGCCCCCCAGACGCTCCAAGAGGCCTCCAAAACAAACACCAGCAGCAACAGCAGCACCACCACCAACAGAAACAACGGCACCAGGAGCACAGCGCGAGAACAAACAACACCACCAGCAGCATCAGCAGCAGCAGTACCACCAGCACCAGCAGCAGCAGCAGCAGCAACAGCATCAACAGCAGCACCCGTACCATTCGCTACCAGAGATCTCCCAACTTACAGTTGTTGCCCACGCTGTTTCACTATGTGCGTCTCTTCCTCCCTTCTCCCGTCAGCTCTCCTGGGCATCGTTTCTGGATGGGCTGGTGGGGATACTTTTTGGTCAACAGGCTCGCGAGGCGGGTCGAAAGCCGTCCGAACACTAGTCGGGCCGCGACTAGGCAGCAGGAAAAGAAAGTCAAGCGAAGCGAGCGAGCGGGCAGCCACTCAGAAGGAGAGCCAGAACCGATACTCCCAAACCCGGTGGCGTTGGAAATCCCGGTGGCGACCAGCAAGTAAGCGCAGCCAAAATGGCGCGGCGGCGCGACCATAAACACGCAGAGGTCGATCGCTCGGCGTGAGTCAGGCAAACAGCACCAGGCTGGTGGGGATACGCGAAGCGTCAACCATTTGCAGTTACTAAACGGCCCTGGGCGTTTCACAAACAGCCATGTCCTGCTTGATGCCTTAATTATTTAGGTGCGTTTACTAAACGACTTCGCTTGTCGGGGTGCTTCTTATGCGGGTGGTTGTTATGCGCTCTACTTGTGGGGCTACGAACATGTGACAATATGCAGACTCAGCCAGTTGGGTTTTCGGTGGAGCCCCCTACGGGGCCACGAAGCGTGCGAGGGGCTCGCCGAGATGGAAACGGGCGAAATGAGTACTAGGCCTCCGGGGCCTTCGGTGGACCTCCCTGTGGGGCCACGAAGCGCGTGATGGGTGTGCCGACATGGACACGCGGAGGGGAGGCAAGGAAGGGAAGAGGGGGGGGTGTACGGACGACCAGGGTCACTTCCCCGCCAACCCACCCACTCCGCGCTCCCTCCGAACGCACCCCCAAGCGGCGAGTTCCCAGCGTCTGTATTGATGTTGCTTCTCTCGCATTTGCTTCGGTTATCCGCCGTCCCTACCGTTGATTCCGTCGCAGCTGGGAAAAATTAGCCTGGCGACGAACCCAACCTTACACAAACGCGAGGCGACTATTGGAAGGACCTCTGAATTCACAAGTGCTACAACTTACTATCCGAAATTCGTGGGCGCCTGGCAGCATTAAAGGGCAGCGATTGCAAACGATGTGTTCAGCGGGTCCGATGGACCACCTCTGTTGCCAATGGCTGCCCGAAGTCCGTGGGTGTCTGGCATGAAAGGAATGGCATGTTGAAAATATGCCACTGTCGGCGCCCTGCAAAACACGGACAGAAACTCCCAAACAGCATGCGGCAAATGACACTTGGGCAAGAAGCGACTGCAAATCATCATGTTCAACGGGTCGATAGACCGTTGGCGCCATAGGTGAAGCCGCCTCCTCATGGGCAGGAGACGCTCGAGCGGTGCGCCAATATGGACGGGGAGACGCCGTGTGGTCACCCCCCCTGGGGCCAGTGGTCGAGCCTCCTAAGAGGGGCAGGACATGTGTGAAGGGTGCGCCGAAGTGGGCATGGGGACGCCATGTGGTCACCCCCTCCTGGGGCCATAGGGGGAGCCTCCAAAGAGGGGCAGGACATGGTTGAAGGGTGCGCCGAACTGGGCGGGGGGGCGCCAGGTGGTCGCCCCTGCTGGAGCCATCGGTGGAGCCTCTTACGTTGGGCAGGACACGTGTGAGGGGTGCGCCGAAGTGAGCAGAGGGACGCCATGTGGTCACCCCCTCCTGGGGTCACAGGTGGAGCCTCCAATGGTGGGCAGGGCTCGTGTGAAGGGTGCGCCGAAATTGGCGGGGTGACGCGCTGGGGCCACAGGTTGAGCCTCTTATGGGCGGCGGGACACGTTTGAGGCGTGCGCCGAAATGGGCGTGGTCACCCCCGTTGGGGCCGTAAGTGGAACTCCCTGGGAAGCAGGACACGCTCGTGGGGTGTGGGGCCGAAAGGAATGCCGCAACAGCAGCAGGAGCAGCAGCGATCGGAAGAGGGAAGAGCATAATCAGAAGGAAGAAGAAGGAGGAGGAGGAGCAGCAGCAGAGGAGGAGAAGCAAGAGGAAGAGGAGGAAGAAGATGGAGGATGGGCGGGAGGAGGAGAAGGAGAAGCAGAAGGAGGAGACGCGCGGCGCTGCGTGTTCAAAACGAGGACCCAGCACACGGGAGGATTGGGAACGAAATGTGACCTCAACGATCGCCAAACAGTTCGCGAGGCTCGGGCGGGGAGAGGAGGCGCAGCAGAGGCCAGGCCAGGAGCGCAGCTTAGAGCACTGCCCAGGGCGCTCGAGAAATGTCCCCGCCTCTGAGGAGCCGAAGGGGATGAACCCAGGCGTCCAGACTCGACCACACGTCCCTCTCTCTCTCTCCCTCTTTCTCTGCTTCTTCTGCTTCCTCACCTCGCGCGTGCAAGATTCCCGGCATGTCTGGTGGCCGCTTGTCTCACGTCGTGAAGCCACTTGATCTCTCCTTCTCCCTCACTCGCTCTCTCTCTCTCTCTCTCGCGGCGATGTCTTTTCCGACGGGAGCTGTGTAATCATCACGCTTCGCGTGGCACATCGGCGTGCGCTCCGGCGCCTTCCCCGCCACGATCCCCGTGAGGGGTGGGTTCTTGGAGGTCTGCTTACTGGGAGTGGTGATTGGCCCTGAGGGGCCAGGCGCCTCCTGTGTGCCGGCTTGTGCTCAGCGCGACGGCGGCCGCACAGTCGCTTAGTTCTCTCGTTGGTCTCTTTCTCTCTCTCTCTCTCTTTCTGTCTCTCTCTTTCTCTCTCGATGTATATATATATATATATACATGCATACACGTGGGCTCTGAGGGCAGCGGGCTTCTCCTGCCCCTCTCCCCGGCAGACCTGGTGCCGTGCCACCCTCCGCCGCGGCCGGCCGCGGGGGCAGGGGCCGCGCGCGCGCGCCCCCCCCCCCCCCCTCCCCGGGCGGAGCCATGCCCCCCGCCGCCCCGCTGCCGACGCTGCCGCTGCGGGCGGACGTGCTGCTCAGCAACGCGCTGTTCGAGGAGCTGTCCGAGGGCGGCCTCTCCGAGGAGTTCCTGAGGCGCTCTCCGAGGGGCAAAAGCCGGTCGGAGGGGGGCCAGGTCGAGCCACCAGCGGCCCCGCTTGGGGCGTTTCGTCCTCTTTGTTGGGCCTCCTTTGGAGGCATCTCGTCGCCACGGGCGGATATCCGCGTCGGAGAACGGATCGGGATGGAGGGATGGACCTCGTGAGGGGTTTGGGGGCGCATGTTCAGCGGATGTGAGCCAGGTGGGAACGGGTAAGGAGTGTTTGTGCGTGTGCGTGTAAAGAGATGTGGGGAACGCAAGCAGTCAGCACATGAATGGTGCGAGGGGGAGAGGGGGGATGAAGGAGAAGGAGGCGGAGGAGGAGCAGGAAGAAGGAGGATACATACAAGGAGGAGGAGGAGGTGGGGAAAGATGAGTGGGAGCAGGAGAAGAGCAAGGAGGAGGAGGAGGAGGAGAAGACGAAACGAGAAGGGAAGATAAGAGACGATAATATAAAAGAAGATAACAGTAGGGAAAATAAGAGAAGAGAAAATACGAGACGAGAAGAGAAGGGACAATGAGAGAAGAGACGAGAAGAGAAGATAAGAAAAGCAGGAGGAGCAGAAGGAAGAGAAGGGGCAAGAAAAGGAGGAGGATGAGGAGGAGGAAGGAGAAGATGAGCACGAGGTGCAGGAAGAGGAGGATAAATACATAGGAGGAGGGGGAGGAGAAGGAGAGGGAGCAGAAGGGACAAGGGGGGCAAGAGGGGGAGGACCAGGAGGAGGAGGAGGAGGAGCAGGAGGAGAAAGAGAAGTGGGAGCAGGAGGAGGAGAGCCGCCAGAGTGCTATCAGGAGTAGGCGGTTGAAACACATGGCTGGGGAGGAGGAGGTAAGAGGGAGGAGAGGGGGGAGGACAAGCTAGGTGCGCTCGCGTCACGTATGTCGTCATACCCCTCCCTCCCTCCCAACCTTTACTATGGCGCAAATCTCTTCTGTATGCGCACAAGCTGAGGTCGATCAAGGCAAGGCTCCCGAGAGGGTTTGCGATGCATTGTCAAGCACGGCATAGCATGGTGTAGAAGAGCTCGGCAGAGCAGAGCATGTCACAGCATGGTTTGGCATTGCGTAGTGCCGCATTACATCACAAAGCGTAACATCGCAAAGCGTGACATCTCTCAACGGAGCACAACGCAACATCGCATTGAATGCCATGGCATGGCACCGGATACCTTGGAGAGTAAATGGCCCGTGTGCGAAAGGAGAAGGCCTGTCCGGAATCCAGGCTCTATGTCCTGCGCAACCGTGCTTGCCCGATGTGGGTATTTTCGAATGCCAAGTGCCGTCTGGTAGGGGTACTGTAAGGCCCCCCCTTTCCTTTCGACACGCTGCCTTGCGTTCCCCGAGCCCCCTTCCAAATCTCCCTGGGTTCCCCGGAGAGCTCTGCACGAAGCGTGGCGGATGGACCGAAGACTTCCGGAAGCTCCAGGGAACGCACTGAAATTGCCGACGGCGACAACGACGCAGACGACGACGGCGGCGGCGGCGGCGGGGGAAGCTGCGGCGGGCGAGGACGGATGTCAGGGAATAGTAGGGCGGGTTGCCAGGCTCGATGGTCTGGCTTCCTTGAACAATCGGCTCACACTGGGCCCCTGGACCCCTCATGGGGTCCAGTGGGGTCAGCGTTTTCCAGCCGGATCGCCCAGGGCCCGACGAAGGGGGGGGTTGCTTCTGCGGCCCCAAAGAACAAATCATCGACACCGAATGTGCAGTCACTTCGACACCGAATGTTTTTTTTTGTCGGGGGGCATGTTTTATATGTTGGGGCCTGTTTGGAAGGACCGACAACCATGCCGTGGCACGGCGCTGGAAAGATTGATGCCAGCGCTGCAGCGCGGGAGCACGATTCGAAACGTGCGTAAGCGCGGAAATGAGGCCAGTGCTGCAGCGGGAGCACGATTCGAAGGACGCGTAGCTTGACATAGAATTGCGTGGTGACGCCCCAAAGTGGGGCTTCCTTGCGGCTCAAAAAATCAACGAATCGGTACCGAATGTGTAATTACTTCCGATGTTTTTTTCGGGTCGCCATGTTCTATGTTTTAAGGCCGACTTGGAAGGACCAACATGCATGCCGTGGCACGGCGCCTGAAAATAATGACGCCAGCGCTGCAACGGGAGCACGATTCGGAAGGAGCGGAAGCGCAGAAATGAGGCCAGCACTGCAGCGGGAGCACGGTTCGGATCGAGCGGTAGCCCAAAAGCGAAGCCAACGCTTCAGCGAGAGCAGCATTTTGACAAACAAAGAAATTACGAAACGAGAACCCGTTCCCCGGGAATCATATGTGTAAAAAACAATACGCGGAGGGGGGACGAATATTTCCCGGACGTCTCCAGGGGAGAGAGGAGAATAGCATTCAGATTGTGTAAGTGTGCAGAAGAGAAGGAGGAAGAGAAGCGGGAGGAGGAGGGGAAGGAACAGGAGGAACAGGAGGAACAGGAGGAGGAAGAGGATGAGGAGGAGGAGGAGATGAAGGAGGAGAAGTGGGAGGAGGAGGAGGAGGAGGAGGAGGAGGAGCCGCCAGAGTGCTATCAGGAGGAGGCTGTTGAAAAACACGGCTGGGAAGGAGGAGCTAGGAGGGAAGAGAGGGGGGCGGGAGAGAAGAGACAAGAGGGGCGGAGGTGGAGGAGAAGTGGGAGCGGGAGGAGGAGCCGCCAGAGTGCTATCAGGAGTAGGCGGTTGAAAAACATTGCGGGGGGAGGAGGATGGAGGAGGGAGGAGAGAGGGAGAAAGAGGAGGAGGAGGAGGAGTAAAGGCAGGAGAAGGCAGAGGAGGACAGGGGGATGATTATGATGATAAGGATGAGGATGAGGATGAGGATGATGATGATGAGGAGGAGGAGGAGGAGGACAACGAAGATAAGGAGTATGAAGAGAAAGGAGGAGGAGGGTGAGGAGGAGGAGGAGGAGGAGGAAGAAGAATTTGAGGAGGAGGAGGAGAAAGTGTCAACCAAGGTGTTGTCAGGAGGAGGAGGAGGAGGAGGAGGAGGAGGAGGGGGAGACGAGGAGGAGGAGGAGGGGGAGGAATAGTTCAGTCAATGCGCTGTCAGGGGGGAAGGGGGGGGGCGGTTGAAGTGAAAGGCGAGAGGAAGAGCAGGGAGAGGAGCAAGGAGAACGGGAGAAGAAGGAGGAGGATCAGGAGGAGGAGGATGATGATGATGAGGAGGAGGAGGAGGAGAAGAAGGAGGAGGAGGAGGGGGAGGAGGACACAGAGGAGCAGGATGAGAAGGAGATGGATGCGGATGCGGAGTAGTAAGACGAGAGGGGGTGGGGCGAGTAGGAGGCGGAGGAGGACGACGAGCAGGAGGAGGAGGAAGTAGAAGAAGGCGGGGGAGAAGAGATATGTGGGAAGAGGAGGAGGAGGAGGAGGAGGAGGAGGAGGGGATATATGAGCCAAGGCGCTGTCAGAAGGATGCAGGAATACAAATCTGATTGAGGGGGCCGAACGGTCATTCACGGTCCCTGAGTGGGTGGTTGAAGTGGGATTTCGTGGTGCGGATTGTTGTTGTCGATGTTGAATTCTCACTCCCGACTCGCCCGCTAGGGTCTGCCGGCCCGATCTGCCCGTTTGGTTCTACCACGTGTTTTCTGCTCCTAGCCACTCTGCTGCTGATTTCTCTCGTGCTCCATCATTATTCCTCCCCCTTCCATCCGTCCTCTCTTCCCCTGTTTGAAGGGGCTGCGCTAAATGCACGTGGCAGGTAAGGATGAGACACCCCTAAGCGGGAAAGATCGAAGACGAAGAGGGCGGGTGACGAGGGCTTGGGATATAAATGTTGACGGGCACGCGAGCAGATAGGAGCAAACAGGCTTAAAATGAGTGTTGTTGTTGGTGTTGGTGTTGCTGTTGTTGTTGTTGGTGGTGTTGTTGGTGGTGGTGGTGTTGGTGTTGGTGCTGTTGTTGCTGCTGCCGCTGCTGTCGCTGCTGAAGTATCATACAATAATTGTTGTTGTTGACCCCCCTGCCCGGTAACCATTCCATGTTTCAATTAAACTATTTCTCGCGGGACTCGCACCCTGTTTGTTTACATGGGAAAGTGAGGTGTCACCAAACTGTGTGATCGGCCCGCAGTTTACATCAACGGCTCCCGCCTGATATTTGCTCACCATGTATTTCCAAACCGCGCTCTCGCGCGGGACGTCCTCACAATGTATACAGACATCGCGTTCTCGCGTGGGATTCCCCCACAGTTGATTCAGACGCCGCGCCCTCGACGCTCAAGAACCACGCTCTCGCTGTGGTTTTCAGCACGATTTACAATGTATTTGGGAATCGCGCTATCGCTCGAGTCTTCCTCGCGAGTCATGCAGGACGCACGCTTCAGCAACCCGCCTGCCTCTTGTCCTTTCCTTCCATCCGTCCTCTTGTCCCCTGCCTTAGGGGCTGCACGAAATCTCTAAGGGGGTACGATCGAAGACGAAGAGGGCGGGTATCGAAGGGTGGGGATATACGTGGTGAAGGGCACGCGAGCAGATAAGAGCAAACAGTCTTAATATGATTATTGCTGTTGCTGATGTTGGTGTTGGTGTTGCTGTTGGTGGTGGTGTTTTTGTTGCTGCTGTTGCTGCTGCTGCTGGTGTTGGTGTGGTTGGTGTTGGTGTCGTTGTTGCGTTGTTTGTTATTTGTTGTGTGTTGTTCGTTGTCGTCGTCTCACCTGCGACCCACCCGCGACCCACTCGCGGCCCACACGCGACCCGGCCAGCGACAAACAAGCGACCCACTTGTGGCGGGCTCATTCTATATGTTGTTTGAACATTGGCGTCTGGCTGTGGGTTTCTTCAGAGACTCGCAGGCTGCCGACGACCCTGCCGTTCCCTCACTCTTATCCGCAACTGCGGGGTGCTACACATGAGGAGGGTGTGGAGGAAGAGGAGGCGGAGGAGGAGGCGGAGGAGGAGGCGGAGGAGAAGGAGGAGATCGGGGAGAGCGGGAAGAGCGGGGAGACGGAGGGGGGTGAGGAGTAGGAGGAGGAACGGGAGGAGGAGGAAGAGAAGGAGGAGGATGGGGCAAAATGAGCAGGAGGAGGGAGCGGAGCAGGGTGAACGGGTACGATGGAGAAGGAGGGGGGTAAGGGGGAGGAAGAAGGTGAGGGAGGATGAGGAGGAGGGGGAGGAGGGGGGGAGGGAGATGCGGAGGAATAAAGGGGCGGAGGCGGCGGAGTGTGAGAGGGTTTCAACCGAGGTGTTGTCAGGAGGAGGAAGAGGGAGGAGGAGGAGCAGGAGGAGTGGGAGGGGGAGAAGAGGAGAAGGAGGAGGGTGGGAGAGTCAACCACGGCGCTGACAGGGAGGCGGCGGTTGAAATGAAAGGCGAGGGAAAGAGAAGGCAGGGAAAAAGGGAGGAGAAGGAGGAGCCAGGGTATGTTGAGGATGGTGAGGAGGAGGGGATGCGTATGAGGAGGTGAAGAGGGAGCAGGAGGAGGAGGAGAAGGAGCAGGAGGAGGCAGGAGGAGGCAGGTGATGAGAATGATAATGAGGAGGAGTGGGATGCGGATAGGACATAGGGAAACGACAGGGACAGGAGAAGAGGAGGAGGAGGAGGAGGAGCAGGATGATGAGAAGGAGGAGGAGGAGGAGGAGGAAGCGGATGCGGATGCGAAGTAGCAAGATGAGGCGGAAGGGCAGAGGGATAGTGAGGAGAACGAGGTCGAGGGCAAAGAAGAGTGAACGTTGCAGCGCCCGTTCCAATATACAATCGCATTGGGTGGAGGGTCTAGGATGGTTGGAACCATATGGTCCTCATTATGCAAGTAGGCTGGAGGTCGACTCGATTTCTGCTGTTATACCGTTATCGATAGCCGCCTGGAAAGTAAAACCTTCATATGGGTCCTAGTGGGCAAGGAAGTGGCAACGTGGCGACCGTTTCATGTTCGGGGGGCAAAAGCCCAAAAGTGACCACAAAGGGAGGGGATGATAATGAGGAGGAGGAGGAGGAGGAGGAGGAGGAGGACTGCGTAGCGCATTGGAAAACATAGCGTGGTCCTGGGCGCTTGAGGTTGTCCGAATCCTCCTGCTTGTGTTATTTCCGGAATTTGCCTGGGGGGACGAGTTCACGTATCGGATGTACACCGTTGCCGATAGCCGTTTCGGATTTGACGCGTTAAGGGGAGAGGGGGATTGCAGGGGGGAGATGGGCACAAGAAGTGACGATGGAAACCGTTGTGGAGCACCCAGAGCCAATAATTGACTATTGTTGTAAGTTTTGGAGCACCAGGTTATGGTGCTGATGATGATGGTGATGATGTTGATGCTGATGGTGATGATGCTTATGATGTTCATGATGACGGTGGTGATGATGATGATGTTGTTGTTGATGATGATGATGATGATGTTGATGATGTTGGTCATGATGATGATGATGATGATGATGATGATGATGATGATGATGATGATGATGATGATGATGATGATGATGATGATGGTGATGGTGATGATGATGATGTTGATGTTGTTGATGATGATGACGATGATGATGATGATGATGATGGTGATGACGATGGCGATGCTGGCGAAGCTGTTGATGGCCCTGATAGCGATGCTGATGGTGATGATGATTGGATGGTGATGAGGATGAGAAGGAGGAATTGAGAGAGGTATGGTGCTGTACGCGGTGTTGAAACGAAAACGAGATCCCAATGTTGGATATGTAGGGAAGGCGGCATGGGCATCAATGCTCGTATGTCCGTGCGCCCCCCTGGCGGCGCCTCTGGCGCCGCCATTGGTGCCTTCCGCGCGACAGGGAGGTGGGGGTCAGGTGTCGACCCCAAAAAAACTCCGCGCGGGCATCCCAGAGTTTACTCTGATGTTTGTGTGTTCCTTCTTCCAGGCACCACTGCGGCCAGGAGGACCTCTCGAAGGTGGAAACGCTGGAGCTGCAGGTGGACGCCACCAGCCAGCAGGTGGAGGGGCTGGGCGCCATGGTCCCCAACCTGCTGGAGCTGCGGATGAACCAGTCGAGCGTCCCGTCCGTGCGCGACCTTGGCACTGGCCTGTCCAAGCTGCGCGTCCTCTGGCTGTGCAGGAGCGCGCTGCAGGACTTATCCGGGATCTCGGCGCTGTCCTCCCTGGAGGAGCTCTACGTTTCCTTCAACGACATCAAGGAGATCTACCCGTTGGGGACGCACGAGTCGCTGCAGGTGCTCGACCTGGAGGGGAACCTCGTGGAGGACTTCTCCGAGGTGCAGTGCCTCGAGAACGTCACGAGCCTCAGGGAGCTCAACCTGAGCCTCAACCCGTTCTGGAAGGATGCCGGGGTGTCGAGGGACCGGGTGCTGCAGGCCCTGCCCCAGCTAGAGATGCTCGATGATGCACCCCGCGAGCGTGACGCCGACGAGCGGCAGGGCGCGGTGCTGGTGGACCTCGACGCGGGGTGGGACGAGGGCCTGCCCAGCGGAGGTCAAGGCGCAGGGGACGTGGAGGTGCGCACGCTGATCGCGATCTCTGCGGGCCTGTCCCCGGACTCCGCCTCGGCCGCGGAGGCCGCAGAGGAGGAGGACAAGGGCGCGCTGAGGGAGCTGATGGAGCGCGCTGGGCGTGCACGGGCGGGCGTGCCATGCGCAGCGGAGGCGGCGCAGCCGCCCGCCGTTGCGGGCGGCTTTGCGGGCGCGGGCGCGGGCGCCTCGCCTGCCTCGGGCGGTGCACTGGCGCAGCTGCGTGCCGGGCGGGCGCAGCTCCTGACGAGCACGTCCACCACTGTCGGGGGATGGCGCGCTGGCGAGCAGGCGAGCTCGGACGGGGGCGCCGCGGCGGAGCCCAACGAGCAGGACCTCGTCGTCGAGGGCCTGAAGCGAGCGCCGAGGCCCATGCCGAGCGTGCTGACGTTCCGCCACGCGGCCACATCGCGCGGCGTGGACGAGGGAAGGCTGCCCCGTCCGCCGCGGACCGCCTGGGGCTGGGGCAGCGGCTCCTCGTCCACGTCATACCGGCCCTCCACCCGGCCCTCCACCGCGTCCTCCACCAGCGCCACGAGCTCCCTAGTGTCCAGCAGGGGCCGCGGCGGGGACGAGCCGAGCGCGGGCAGCGACCTCACGCTCGGGGACGACGGCGCGCCGCTGGTGGGGAACCCGCTGGCCGCGGCGCGCAGGCGCCGGCAGAACGCCGCCGCGGGAAAGCAGCAACCGGGCGCCGGCGACCTCGACATCCGCAACTTGCTGCGCACCGCGCAGTCGGCCTCGCAGGGCGAGGGCAGGGCGCTCGTGGAGCCGTGCGCCAGCCCCGCGCGGCTCGCCACGCCAGACGTGCGGATCCGGACCGCGGGGAGCCGTGCGGCCCACGACCTGGGCGGCGCCGACGTGGCAAGGAGCCAGGGCGCGCGCACGCAGGCGCCCGGCGTTGCGGAGGCAGCTGGCGCCGCGTGCGGCCCCAGCTACCGCGTCGGGGGCGCAGAGGTGCTGCTCGTCTAGCGCGGCCACGCCCTACCAGTATTACTTTGATCTCTGACCCTGCCTTGGAGGGCCGCGGCGCGTCCTTAGGCTCGCGCCCGCTGCCTAACGAGCCAATGCACTGCATCGCGAGCCAGCCACCCGCCAGGGCCTGCTGTTTCTCGCCCTGTCTTCCGCGCTGGGCTCGCTGCTGCCATCTCGCTTAGGAAAACAGGTTGCGTCTGATGCATCTGTTGCACTGTGCTCATAGCTGGTCGTGGGACGTGCGATGAAGCTGGATTCCTCTCAGTGTGGCCAGCATGGGCGAGAGCTGGATAATCACGTGGCCGCGTGCAGTTCCAGCGCTCGGCCCCTGCATGGCTGCGTACGTTGGTCCTTCGTATCTGGTTGCGCGCGCGTGTGTGTGTGTGTGAATGTGTGTGAATGTGTTGATGAATGTGTGTGTGTGTGTGTGAATGTGTGTGTGTGTGAATGTGTGTGGGTGAATGTGTGAATGTGTGTGTGTTTGTGGGGGGGGCGTGTGTGTGTGCGTGTGTGTGTGTGCTGTGTGTGTGTTGTGTGTGTTGCGTGTGTGAGTGTTGTGTGTGTGTTGTGTGTGTTGTGTGTGTTGTGTGTGTTGTGTGTGTGTTGTGTGTGTTGTGTGTGTTGTGTGTGTTGTGTGTGTGTTGTGTGTGCTGTGTGTGTGTTGTGTTGTGTGTTGTGTGTGTTGTGTGTTGTTTGTGTGTTGTGTGTGTTGTGTGTTGTGTGTTGTGTGTGTGCTGTGTGTGTGTTGTGTGTGTGTGCTGTGTGTGTTGTGTGTGTTGTGTGTTGTGTGTGTGTGTGTTGTGTGTTGTGTGTGTTGTGTGTGTTGTGTGTGTTGTGTGTGTTGTGTGTTGTGTGTGTTGTGTGTGTTGTGTTGTGTGTGTTGTGTGTGTGTGTGTTGTGTGTGTTGTGTGTGTTGTGTGTTGTGTGTGTTGTGTGTGTGTTGTTTGTGTGTTGTGTGTGCGTGTGTGTGTGTGTGTTTGTGTGTGTGTCCAGCGCATGGCTTCCGCATTCTCCGCATGTGATTCCATCCGCGTGTGATCCCAGCTGCATGGCAAGGGCCCCTGGCGGCGCCTCCGGCGCCGCCCCTGGCGCGCTCCGCGCGCCAGGGGGGGAGGTCCAGCGCATATCCAGGAAATCCGCGCGGAGCGCCAATTGTTTATGCTCATGGAGTTTTTGTCGTCCTCTGTGGACCCCTACCCCGGAACTGGCCTCTCATCCCGAGTCGTTGTTTGCGTGTCCTGGCGCCTGGCAGCGGCTCCCAGGAAACAGGCAAAGAGTGTCCGTCGCGATGATCGACCGCAGCGCCCTCCGAAGCCCCCGCAGGGTCCTTCCGAGGCCCCGCCGGGGAAGGGCCCTGAAGGCATCACGCGCGTCAGACCTGGCGGGGCGGCGGAGGCGCAGCAGCACGAGGGAGCGTCGGGGCAGGAAGCGGGCAGGGGGGGCACCCTGCCGTCTTCGTGTCGTGGGAAATCACGACGGGGGGCTTGGGGCTGTGTTCGGCCCCCGGGGTTTCTCAGGGCCCCGGGGCCGTCAGGAGACGACCCGGGGTGAAGAGCCGGTCAGGAAGGGGTGCAGGCTTTGGGGGAGCCACGCTGCGGAAGAATCACGACGTCGGATGTCTGGGGAGCAAGGGTGCCCGCGATCAGTCGAAGAAGAAGAAGAAAAACAAATGCCACAAACATAAACTTTTGGCGCTCCGCGCGGATTTCTTTGATCCGCGCTGGGCCCCCCGACGGCGCCTCCAGCGCCACCCCCGGCGCGCTACGACGACGATGATGACGATGACGACGACGATGACGATCGTCATCGTCATCGTCATCGTCGCAGCCCGAACCCACATGTTGGCCCAAGCAGTCCCGAGGGCCGCCGCGCGGGCTCGCGCGGGCAGCGCCACCGCCCCGCCGGCTGCTGCGGCCAGCGGCTTCGCAGGCCACATCATGCTGCTCGGCTGCTGCGCGGCCGGCGCCCCGGGGGGGTCCTCGGTCGAGCAGGTCGGCCCCGAGCCCGGTGCCGCCGCGCAGCTCGAGGAGGCCGCGCCGCCGCCGCAGCGCCCGCGCGTGCCTCGGGACGGCGCGGCGGCCGCGCGCGCGGGCGGCTCGGCCCTGGAGGACAAGGACCTCGCGACCTCGGGCCTGCTGGGCGCCGCGGGGGCCACCGACGAGGCCTCCACCTCCGTCGGCGGGTCCCGGCTGCGCGACGAGGGCGTGAGCTTGTGCTCGAGCAGCGCGATGCTCGAGGAGGACAGGGCGCTGATGGAGCTCGAGGACGGGCTGCGTGGGGCCGCCCGGGCGGCGCTGCCAGCGCTGCGGCAGCGCGCAGCGGACCTGGCGGCCGGGCTCCCGGCCCAGGCGGTCGAGGACGCGGCGTGGTTCTGTTCGGACGAGACCTTGGTGGGCGGCGAGATCTATACACTAAACATATCCGCTGCCCCTGGCCAGGCCCATCCGGGGCCCAGGAGCGGTGCAGATGCCTCCCTGACCAGGCCAGGAGGGCGTAGACACCGCTCCTGGCCCCAGGACGGGCCTGGCCAGGGGCAGAGGATATGTGTTATAGATCTCGTCGTCCTAGGTGCGCTACCTGGCCACCTGCGGCAACGACCCCGAGAGGGCCGCCGCGATGCTCGGGGGCACCCTGGCGTGGCGGGCGGCCTACTTCGAGGGGGCAGACCTGGCCCTCGCGAGGCGGGCGGACGGCACCCGGCCGCGCAGCTCGCTGTGCCCCTGCTGCGCGACGGACCCCAGGCAGCACTGCGCCTTCCGGGTCGGCACCGACGTGGCCGGCCGGGACGTCATGTACACCTGCGCGGGCAGGTCTCGGGCACACGTGGGAGGATGGGTCCCCGCAGAGATCCAATGCAGAAGGGTGTGCGCCCAATGCGGCATCACGAGGCCGTCGCCGGGCCCCGGGACTGTCAAAGGTAATGGGAAGCCGGTCCCCGGAAGTGGGTCGAGGCTTCTTGGGAGCCCCACATTGGAAAGAAACAACAAAACACAAAAAACACAGATCTCTGGGTTTTCGACAGGGTCGTGGGTTGCTGGGTGCTTCCCAGCCTCGGAATGCAGCTGCGCCTCGCCGAGAGCGTTCTGGGGGTGCTGGGATCGTCCGACAGGCCGCCAGGGGTCCCAGGTATAGCCCGAGAAACGAGTGGCCATTTGCCAGAGTGGCCTCTGCCGCAAGGCTTTCGGGGGGCGCGGCGCGGGGGGGGAGGGGGAGGTCAAACCCAGGCATGCAAGCCGCCACTTGTCACATCGCGCGGAAGGATCGGCAAGCCGCGCACCAAAGGTCATTCTCGCCCATGGATCGTCGCACATTTGGGTGTAGCCGGAGGTCTGCCAACAAGAGCGGCGACATGGGGGTGAGGCACATGTTCCTGGAGCTCGAGCGGCTCTTCCAGGCCGGCAGCGGACCGGGGCAGGTGGTGGTGATCATGGATTTCGCAGGTTTCGGCCTTGCCGACTGCAACCCTCGCACATGCGTGTTGCTTTTCTCACTCGTCAAGGCCCACTATCCGGACCGCCTCGGCCAGATAGTCTTGCTCGGAGTTCCCTCACTGGCGGCGGAGCTGGTGAATATGGTCAAAAGGCTTCACAAGGACGTGGCCCAGCGCACTGTGATCCTCAAGGGTCCGCTTGCACAACAGCGGTACATGGACGCCTACTGGAGTTGCGACCCGCCGATGCTGGAGTGGATGCGGGCTACTCTGCGATGTAAGGGCGTGCCAGGGAACTACCCCGATCTCGAGCTAAGCCTGGCCCTGAGGGACGAGTGCGCCGTCGAGATGCTGAAGCGGTGCGCGGCTCTGCAGGAAGCCTCGTAGGAGGCCTGGTAGGCCGCCCGCCACCCCCACCCCTCCTTGGCCTTCTCCCCTCCTCCTGATCCTGATCCTCCTCCTTCTCCTACTGATCCTTCTCCTCCTCCTCCTCCTCCTCCTCCTCCTGCTCCTCCTCCTCCTCCTCCTCCCCCTCCTCCTCCTCCTCCCCCCCCTCCTTCTCCCCCTCCTCCTCCTCCTCCTCCTCCTCCTCCTCCTCCTCCTCCTCCTCCTCCTCCTCCTCCCCCTCCTCCTCCGCCTCCTCCTCCTCCACTCCTTCTCCTGATAGCTAACTCCTCCCTGTCGCCCCCCGAGGCCGGTCGAAAGGGCGGGCAGGGCGTTGCGCGTGAGACATTTTCACCATTTGTGATCGTGAAGTTTTACTTCATTTATTGTCGCACCCTCAGACGTGTCGGCGGGGCGGACCGGGCGTTTCGCCTGAGATTTCCCTTGCATGTATGGTCCGGCGGTTTTAGAATTTGCAACACTTTCACAGGTGGAGGGCGGGTCGGTTTCAACATGTCGCTCTCGCTTTGGCGCCGCGCACATTCGTTTGACAAAAATGCAAGAGCTTCACACATTGAGGGCGGGTGGCTTTCAACATGTGGTTCTCGCTCTGGCGCCGCGATCATTCGTTTTCTTTTTAATTGCAAGAGCTTCACCGAATGAGGGCGGGCGGTGTTCATAACGTGGCTCTCGCCTTAGCGTCGCGTGCATTAGGTTTAGAATTCCCCAGTGCGACCCTACCTAGAAGTTGGAGCCCCTAGGAAAGCAGCATTAGTTGCTATGCTATGCTATGGTATGTCATGCTATGCTGCTCTATGTTATGCGATGCTATGCTGCGCTATGCTAGGCTATGCTATGATATGTTATGCCATGTTGCGCTGTGCTATGCTAAGCTATGCTATGATATGCTAAGCTGCGCTATGCTCTGCTCTCTTATGCTATGATATGCTGCGCTGTGCTATGCTGTGCTGTGCTGCGCTATGCTATGCTATGCTATGGTATGCTTCGCTATGCTATGCTTTGCTGGGCGATGCTATGATATGCGATGCTGCGCTATGCTATGCTACGCTCTGTTATGATATGCTGTGCTCTGCTATGCTAAACCTCAGCGAAGCTAAGATAAAGGTCAGCTAGCTAAGGTAAGCTTGAGCTAAGATGAACCTAAGCTAAGCTAAGATGAAATAAGCTAAGCTAGGATGAGATAAGCAACGCTAAACTAAGGGGACGTAGCTGGTGGAACCGCGGGGCGGATACTGGAGGAACCGCCCGGGGCGCGTTCCACTGCCCAGCCCTTTAAGCACACCGAGTAAGAATCCTTCTACGCAGAGCCTAGGTAGGGAACATTGCAGGAGCTTCTCGGATTCAGGGTGTTTCGTTTTCAAGACGTGGCTCTCGCCTGAGCGCCGCGCACATTCGTGGTAAATCTTCGCACGAGCTCGATCGATTATCATACTTAACGCACCAGGAACGGTGTTTTCGAACGGCTCAAGACTGTAAAGGCGCAATTGCTACGCTGATTCGCGGTGTCGAAGTCCCAGGGATGATGTTCTGGCACGACTCGGGATCGCCACGCCGTACCAGTCAGGTTAACTCGTGGCATTGAAGTGATCCGAAGAATGCTCTGGCAAGTTTCAAGATTTTCACACGATCGCCCCCCTTCGGGGCAGTCCCCCCAGAGGAAATGAACCCTTCGAGGGGCCTTTGGAGAATGGCTGCATTTCAGATTGTTGATACGCCTTGGGTTTGCACTGGTCCTCCTCCTCCTCCTGTTCCTCCTCCTCCTTTTCCTCCTCCTCTTCCTCCTCCTCCTCTTCCTGGACGAAATCATCATGTAGGCTGTGTTCCTCCTCTTCCTGTTCCTGAGGGTCTGGTTAGTGGCGTTTTCCTCCTCTTCCTTCTCCGCCTCCTCTTCCTCCGCTTCCTCATCATCATCATCCTCCTGTTCCTCCTCCTCTTCCTCCTCCTCCTCCTTCTCCTCCTCCTCTTCATTAATCACCACCATCATCATCAGCATCACCCTCATCATCATCAGAGTGCATCTGGCCGCGAGCAACATTCCAGCAGCGCGACCGAGTCACCGCAGTCTTTGCAGCGATGGCGGACGCGAGGTACCATTGAGGCGCCCAGTGGCGGGCAATTGAATTGCGAGCTCGCGGCGAATGGCTTGAGCATGCGAGTGTTGGGGCCGCAGCGACTGTTCCTATACAGCCCGTTGTCCCTGGTGTCAGCGGGCAGGTGCCGCGAGGTGGCACACACGGTCGAGGGCGATGCATTTGCTACCCGGCACGAGGTTTCGGAGCTGGGCGGGAAGGAGACGCTGGGGATCGGGTATTCAGCCGTGCATTTCGGCTGGGCACCGTCGGCATGGACGAACGCATCTCCTGATTGCACCATCATCGTGGGGAGGCAATTGCGTTTGAAAGTCGTGGTTGACGTATCCGCGCCGCCCACGTTAATGCAAGGGCGCGCTGGCGCCCTCAGGGTCAAGAGTACAAGTTTCGACATCGTGCTGGCAGTGGGGTACCCTCCGTCTTGGCGATGCCCCCGGAAGAAGGTCGCGGCGCAACAGACGGCGGACAGGGCCACATGCGTGGACCGATTCGGTGGTGGAGGGGGTTCGTGCGCGTTCGATTCGTGCTGCCGGCACGGACGCGAACAGATCTTTCGCATGAGGAACGATGGTGTACCGGTTGTGGAGATATTCGTTTGTGACTTCAACCAAAGGGCGCGAACCGTTGTCGGAGGACCCGGCGGGGCAGCTTTGCCCCACGCGTTCGTTGTGCTCGCCAAGCACATGGTGGCGCGATAGTGGGCCCATTTACTTCGGGACCGGCGGTGCGACGAGCACGAATGAACATTGGTTCATACCCGAATCGGACAAGTATAGAAGTACGTTTTGGGCAGGTGGATTAGCTTTTTGCGCGGATCCCTCAAAGAACAAAATTAATGTCGGGTTGTCGTTGATTGTTCCTTTTCACCCGCCATTCGAGGCGGACGATCGCGCTTGTCGCGTTTGCCAGGGCCTCGATGTCGCCAACCAGAGTCGGTTTGGAATTCAGGCCGCTGCCTTGCGAATGGAAGAGAGGGGGGGCGCGGGGCGAGCTATGCAGCTACGGGGGAGGGGGGCGGTCGCCGCCGCACAACGCGCAAGGGGCGACAGGAAGGCGCAGGGGGCGTTAGGGGGTGGACAATGGACGGGGGAAGCGGAAGGGGCAGGGCCGAGCAACGGACGGGGATAGCGAACGTCATGGAGGGGAGCAGGAATGGGCGAAGGGCGCAGAGGGGCTTCGGGGAAACAGTAACAGTAGACGAAAGCAACGATTACCAGTTAAATAAGGCGCGCCACCAAAATGACACGGAGGTGTGCAAGCACATATTGCGGCAGCCAAGTTGCACCCGCAATGCAGACCATGTTCAGGTAAGCTGACGCGACAACGTCTCACATGCGCAGGCGACCTTTTTCGCAACTACAGCCAGGAGTTCCGTTGCAATTTCCATTTGGACCCCCACGTCGTTATCGTCACGGTTGTCGTCGTAATAATCGTCGTCTTCGGTCCGGCGGTATCCAACGCGAATCAAAAACTAGCCCGCCATGGGTTTTGGTTCGAACTGGACACCCCCGCGTCATCGCGATGTCTGTACATTCGATCTTCGCTCGAACAAGTGGCGCGGGTCTTCTCCGGTATATCTTTTCTTCGGCGACCGAGGGGCGCATCGTGGGATGTAGTGGGGCGCTCTGGGCCTGGTGGAACTCACGTCAATTGCGGGGCGAAGTCTACTTCTCTCGTCTGGTGCGCAGGTTATTGGTTCCCCCTGTCGCTGCCAATGAGAAATTTCAGCGGTTCCCGTCCCCCTGGCTCAACCGAGGGGCGCGGTGACGCACCCGACATGCACCCCGCCCCTGTCGCGAAGCGCCGGTCTGCGCGTCTTCGCCCATCCAAAACATCCACCGCGTACAAAATACAATTTGCCAGCGATTAAGTGTACATCTGCACGCACATACGTGCACTTAGCAAGCGGGGCGGGGTGCACAGAGAAAGCGGCGACGCCCGCGCCCGACGTGCGCAGCGCGCCCTCCGTTAAGTGCCGGTCTGCGCGTGGCCCGTCCTACTTGCCGCCGAGGCCCAGTCCATGGGCCGCCCCCCGTCGACTTCCCATCCCAAGCTACGTTGCAACAGAGGGGCTCCCTTGTAGCATCTATCGGGGGACTTTAAGGAACCATCCAAGGCGGCGTGGAAGGGCCCCGTGGAGGCCGGCCCAAGAGGCCCCAAGATGGCTCCAACACGGCCCAAAGGGGGGGCGAATGGCCCCCGGGGGCCCCAAAAGGGTCCCGACAGATCCCAAGAGGGCTCAAGATGATTCCAAAATAGCCCCACTGGGGACCAGAAAGGGTTTCAGAGATATCCGAAAGAGGGCACCCGATGGATGCTGCAACACCAGGGCCCGCTGTAGCATCCGTCGGCCCTCTTAGGGCCATCCTGGCGCCATCTTGGCCCCCTCTTAGGCCGTTTTGGAGCCATCTTGCGGCCCTCTTGGGATTTCCTTGGGGGCATCCCAAGCTATCTTGGAAGGCCCCAACAGGGGGTATCATCCCATTCACAGCAGCTCGTCTGCAGAATGCGATGCAACGCATCATGTCAATCAGACGCCTCAGGAACGCGAGGGAGGTGGACGCGCCCATTCCCGATGTTGCTTCCAGCGGCCGAGACTGTAACCTTCAAGGGGCTGACAAGGTGGTTCCGGGCGGGCCGTTCGGAATTGCGTGGCCCCGCAGTGCCCGGGCAGTCATTGTCACGGGCAGCTCTCAATCCATCGGGCTTCACAGTAGCGGTGCACATGGCCGAAGCTAGATCGGCTCAGACAATGCGGTCGCCGCGCGTATTCTTGGGACTTGATTTGGACGGTGAAAGTGGGGGTCGGGCGCAGGGCCCCGGCAATGACGTCTTTTAAAGTCATGAATGGGCGATGCATAGTTGATTGCTGTGTTCGGCGGGGGAACTAATTGATGCCCCCCGCCTGCACCCGCGCGCGAGACTCGAGGGGAAAGGACGCAAG